GTGTGTGTGTGTGTGTGTGTGTGTGTGTGTGTGTGTGTGTGTGTGTGTGGTGTGTGGTGTTTGTGTGTGTGTCTCTCTCTGTGTGTGTGTGTACCGCGCGTGTGGCGCGTGTGTGCGCGCGTGTGTGCGCGCGGACGTGCGGGCGGGCGGGCGGGCGGGCCGTGCGTGCGTGCGCGGGCGTGCGCTTGCGCTTGCGCTTGTGCGTGGGCGTGCGCGTGCGCGGGCGTGCGCGTGCGCGTGCGCGGGCGCGGCGCGCGTGCGCGTGCGCGTGCGCGTGCGCGCGTGCGCGTGCGCGTGCGAGTGCGCGGGTGTGGGCGTGGGCGTGGGCGTGTGCGTGTGCGTGTGCGTGTCCGTGTCCGTGTCCGTGTGCGTGTGCGTGTGCGTGTGCGTGTGCGTGTGCCGTGGTGCGTGTGCGTGTGCGTGTGCGTGTGCGTGTGCCAGACAGAAAGCGCGAGAGAGGGCGAGAGATGGAGAGAGAGCGAGTGGAGAGAGATGTGGGAAAACAGATGGAGAGAGATGAGAGATGGAGACTCAGAGAGAGAGGGAGAGAACACAAAGAGTAGAAAGAGAGATTCAAACAGAGATTAGATCATTCGAAACTCCTCTTACTGTTGGCCGTGTCCTCGCTGCTCATTGTGTCAAATCAAAGGGAAGCATCGCGCTCTTTGTTCTCAAACTTGTTCGCTTTCTGCCTCTCTATTCTTTCTCACTTCCTTTCTCGGTTCCATTCTGGGTTCCTTTCTCTTCCTCTCCCTTCCCACATAGAGCGCAGCGAGGCAGCAGGAAGAGCGAAGGGCTCTTAAGTTGAGACAACCCAAAAAGAGCCTCAGTTGCAAATGTGGCTCATCTAGAGCTGCTTCACTTGCCTCACTTGTCACTTGTTTCACGTGCTTCACGTGTTTCACGTGTTTCACGTGTTTCACTTCCGGGCCAGGATACGGTGCGAGAGGTCAGCTGACCATGAAGATGTTTTAGCGGGGAGTGTTTTGTATCTCGTCTTCTGTCATGCCTAAGGCCGGCACCCGGTGTTCTCTCTCGCTCTCTCTCTGTCCCTTTCCTCTGTGATCGTACCCAACATTACCCAACAGTTGAGGGCAACTCAAGCCCACAGCGTGTAGTGGTTTGGGGCCAAGATTTTAGGCTCAGTGGAGCGATAGAGTGCTTGGCCAGCATGGGGTGACGATGTGGCAGCATCACTTGGGGGTGAGGAGGTCATCATGACCTCCGGTGTACAGCTTCCGCACGCCGTGCGTCGTGGCGGTGTTCTCTCTTTCCATGTTCTCTCTCATGTCTCTCACGCATGCCGCTCTCATGTACTTCTCGCTCTCTTTCTCTGTTTCTCTCTCAGTTCCCTCTTCTGTCATTTCCCTCCCTTTCTTGGTTCTCGGTTGATTGTCCTCGCCGAAGCGGTAGTGCAACCGCGGCTTGGCCCACCGGCTCCGGTACAAGAACACGATGCCGCCGTCCTCTGCTGGGGAGCTGCGGAGGAGGGGGGAAGGATTTTTCGCACCTTCATCTTCCTCTTAAACCAAACTCTGCTCTCCCTCTCTCTCTCTCGCTCTCGCTTTCTGCCGAAATTCACTCTAAGTTTGCTCTCTCCCTCCCTCCTTGACCATCTCCAGGGCGTCGCCCGTGAGCGGTTGCGGCGGTGCCTCCGAAGGTGAAGTCGGGAACATAACAATCGCAGATCGGAAAAACTTGAGAGCATGTTTGGCCTCCGGCGGCTCCGCGCTAAAACGCCGCAAGCGGCCGTCGCGCAGGAGCCAGAGCCCCGGCCCGTCAGCCAGGAAGTTCGCATTTCCGTTCCTTAGTTGGGAGAAAGGGCCGAGAACAAAGATAGGAAAACCAGAAAGAGAAAGAGAAAGAGAAAGAGAAAGAGCCTCTTGCGTGTTCGGCTCTAAGCGCGCTGAAAGCCTCTGAAATCTCTGTCAATAAAACGCGTCCTTCAAAGTGCTTTATGGACCCGTGCGTTGAACCCAAATGCGGAGGGCCACACGTGTAGATGACGGGTCATTTACGGACAAAGCGGCACGAGCCATGCGATCGACGTGCATGGGGCAACAACCCAGCATTCAGGACCACAGGCAACATGTAGCAACGGGAAGAACAACATTCAGGACAGTAGGTGGCCTTGATAGGCATTCCCGTGGAGGCGCAGACGTGTGCACTGGAATATGGCAATATGGCAATAAGCCTCAAAGCAGGCTTAGGAGGCTCAGGAGGTCAGTGACGGTCAGTGTACCGGAGCAAATTCTTAAGTCCAAAAGGCCCCGCATGGCCCCGCCACATTTCTTTTGCGGCCTGAGCCTCCTAACATGTACAGCTGCCTTGAGTCTTGGCCTCTGAAACGTTCCGGTACAGTTGGCCGAGCTTCCCAAGCCAGCCGAGTAGTGACAAAGGCATGCTTTGGCTTGCAAGAATCATCAGTACGGAGCCAAACTCCTTTGGTGTTGCTAGAAAGAGAGGGCGCATGCTGTAGCTTTGAACTCAGCTGTTCAAACCATGGCTATGTATTTCATCCAAATCTGTGATTTGCAAGACAGAAACAAGCACCGGCATTTGTCATCGTCAAGAAACAAAATGCTGCTCCTCCTTCTGAGGGTGGCGTGAGGACAAACCGGCGAACAACAAAAACGAATCATCCCCCGACATCTGCAAACAGCTACACCATGGCAGGTGCAAACTCACGAGCCATTGGACATCGTCCAATCCGTGCCTTCGACGGCTGCAGCACCGCGCAGTGCTGCACAGCGCCCCCTTTTTGCGTGCAAATGGCGCTTGCACGCGGCGCTTGCACGTGGCGCTTGCACGTGGCGCGCAGGCCGTGCATCCAAGCGCTGGTGTGGCGCGAGTGAACCGCAACCAGCCCTAAACTTAAACTCTCTTGCCGAGCAACTTCTGCCAGTTGTTGTAGCCGTCGTTCAACAAAAACCTTGGGAACGTCAAGTGTGCAAAAAAAAGGAAAGAACACACAACGGAGAGAGAAAGAGCGATAGAGCGAGAGTCAGAAAAAAGAAAGAAAGACAGACAGACATACAGAAGGAAAGAAAGAAAGCAAGAAAGCAAGAAGGAGAAATATCGAGAGAGAGAGAGAGAGCTCTCTCCCTCTCTCTCTCTCAGACTGAGAACAGTGGGGGAAAACTCCTAAAAGAGAACACACACTCTCTGCGTCTCCCTCAGAGTCAAAAATTAACAAGTTCTCCACTGCAGTTCTCTCCTCTCCAACTGCTTCTTGCTCTCTGCTTTGCTCTCTGACTGTTTTTGCTCTCTGACTGTTGGCTTTCCTTTTCCCTTCTCCGGCTGTTGCGGCTTGATGGGGTTCCAATTACTCCTCACTGTGACCTCCCTCCCATATGCCTGCGCTCTCCACAGCCTCCTTCTCTCCCCGATACTCCCTGCGACCTAAGTAAACGTGCATGGTTCACGGGTCGGCACAGCCCTGGCCCGTCTTGCGTCTTGCAGAAACTGGTACGGGTGTCACTGCCTAATCCCCTTCAATCTCCTGTTTCAGACGAGCACCATAATCTCTCTCTCTCGCTCTCAGTTCTCTCTTTTGGTTTCCGGCTCGAGCTTCCCAGCGCCGGGGAAGCGCAGGGCCCAGAAGCCGGCGAAGCCCTCGACGCGGCTTTGACACATGGCCAGGCCTCGCAGAACTCTGCTCCGCTCTCAGAACTCTGACTTCTCTGAGCCCTTCATCAAAGGGCACTCTTGCGCTTCGTGAAACAAGATGAAAGAGAGAGACCTTAATCTCGTCTCACGCCCCCGAGCCCCCCGCCGGGGAGCGAGGTCCTCCAAGCTTTTGTGCAGGCTGCTCGCTCTCCCTTTCTCTTAGTTTGCTTTGACGTGTCGGCCACTAGGCCAATACTGCGTGGCCGGGCTCCAAGAAACCCTTCTCAGGGCTTCACCACGCCAGAGGCTGGCCGGGCTTCACCTGACGCACTCTCTCGCTCTCTCTCGCTCTGTCTCTCTCTCAGAGAGCACCTCTCAGAAAAAATGACAGAAGAACGGCCGCAAAAAAAAAAAAAAAAAAAAAAAAACAAGCAAGGACAAACTTCAACAGCGACTGCACTTCTGCGCACCTCGCTGCAGTGCAGCCGCGGGGGGCTCCAGCTGCTCTCTGCCAGGATGGTGATGCCCCCGCCGGCGACGAGCGCGTCGGGCCCCGTCGGCCCAGGGTCCTCTCAGAGTGAAACATGAGCAAAACATGCCGACATGATATGGAGCAATTTGAGAAGCCATGCGCAGGAAGAAAGGATGCACGCAGAAACACACAAGGAGAAGAAAGAATTTTGCATCATGAGTTCTTTGCGGAAGAGAGAAGCTCTCACAGAGAGGCTCTCCTCGAAATCCAAGGGTGCCGAGAAGCGCGAGCGAAAACGCTCCAGGAGCCCCGGCCTCCTCGCCGCGCTCGTTGCTCGTTGCTTGCTTTTGGTCTTGTCTCCCAAGCACACTTCTTCTTTTCTTCTTGAGTTTCGAAACAAAAAGCCCCTTCCCCTTCCCCCCTCTCTCCCGTGCAGGAAGGCGAAGGCGGCCCGGAGCAAATCGTCATCGCCTTGGCTCCCGCTCTCGGCTCCCCCGCTCTCGGCTTCCCCGCTGTTTGGCTCCCACTTTTGGCGCCGAGTACGCGGCTGAGCTTCTCCAGGCCTCGACTCGAGTACAGTAGTGGCTGACCCACAGAAAAGAGAAGTGTCGGATGCCGTTCAGGCCCCTTCCAGCATGCTCGAAAGCCGCGCGGCCTTCGAATAACATCCGGGGCCCATGCAGCCTCCCAGCGTCAGAAGCTCAGCACTGGCGCTGCCAGCCTGATCGCCCCACTCAACGTCCAAAATCAGTGCATTGGGTGCACCACTCTTTTCTTGACTCCGCCTGCCCCATACTTGGTGCTAGTTGGCTCGCCTCTGAGCTTTTTGAACCAAAATACTGCAGTGGCCTTTTGCTCCACTCAATTTTCAACAAGAGCTGCACACGCACACAAGCACAAAGCGTGAGTCACACCCAACCTCGAACATGACAGGCCTTTGCCAAAAAACGCTGAGATGCTGAGATGCCTCTGAGATGCCTCTGAGGTGCACTAAAGACTCCCCAAGGCCTGGCCTCGCTTCCCTCGCTTCCCTCGCTTTCCTCGATTTCGGTTCGAAGTTCCTCGTCCTAAGCTGCGAAAGAGGGGAAAAGGGGGGGCTCCAAAGCGGACATCAGTCGAACATCAGTCGAACATCAGTGGAATCTGGACACCGGCTCACAAAGCCCTTTCGCTCTCTCGGCCGTATCACATACCACCCGTATCACCACCTAGTGCAATCTCGTACTTGGGCTGGATGCGTTTTAGGTGAGAAGCTTGTCTCTGCGAAGCTCTGAGCTGCTCCGAGTCCCTTAAGGGATCTCTCGCCTCTCGAATGTCTCTGAGCTTCAGGCAGTGGGCCGTCTGCAGTGTGCGCTGCCCATGCTTCCAGCACATGTCAATACATGTCAATGCATCAGTCTTGAAGGTTCTTGAAGGTTCTTGAAGGTTCAATTTCGGATTCCTGCAAAAACGGCTTTTGCAGATGTAGTCTTGCATGTGTGCGCTGCTGAGACATGCAAGGAATGTGCAAAGATGCGCACTGGAAGCTAATGAAAGCTCCAGCACAGGCCGGCGAAACCGTACAAAAGATTGCCAATGCAACCCAATCCAACCGTTCACCTTGCCATCACATTAACAAAAACGTTTCACCCGTGCATTTGTCACATGGACAAGTCGCAGAAAACCAGAAAGCGGGTGCGGTATTCTTGCTGGATGTTTCGCTGCGCGCTTGTGTGAGCAGGAGAACAAATCGAATCTGAAGTCTCGCCGAGGTTAACACTTAATATCAAAAATTGCCTCATGGAGGGGCAAGTTGTAGGGGAGCTGGGCACGGGGGGTGTGAGTCAGTGTGAGATGGTCCGGAGGTGCAGGGGACGAATTGGGTTGGGGGGGGCGCTCTCAAGGATCACTGCAGGGTGCGAGGGTACGGTTCGAGGGGAACGAGTGCAACCGCAGTACCACATGCAAGATACCCTACACAGCATCGACCCTCCTAAAGCAGGATGTTTTGGACAACATGTATTTTGCTAGGCGGCGTTTCAGGAAGTTCTATTCTCAATCTATGCTCGGTATTTCCCCTCGTGTTGAATTGAACTAATTCTGCACGAGCCAATTCTCCACGGTGAGTTTGTCATGAGTCGCTTCTTGGCCATGTGTTCAAAGCCGAAGCTGCGGAAGCATTGGCGAAATCTTTCCAACCTGTTTCAAAGCAACCTTCTGCCTCAGGATGGTCCACGGCCATAGATTCCAAAGCCCATCAAGGAATGACATGGTCATAGCGTCCATCTGCACATCCTGCTGCTCTTGCTACTGTGGACGGCATCTAACATCAACTGTCACACATCCCCATAGGAACCACACCCCCCTAAGGGTCAAGTGATTAAACATGCGGGTCAGTGGGGCTAGTGCATTCTTGACTGTACGACCTTCTAACAGCTGTGCAGCACGTGCGTTCAGGCTGGCACACTTTATGCTTTGCAATATTGAAATAGCTCGACTGCTTCTTGTCCCGAGCACGTCGCAGATCTGTGCCTGTGTGTCCTTGATTTCCAACAACCCCACTTGTCGGTGGGAGAAAGCTCTGACTTCGAGATCATGTAACTATTTTGGGAAGTTTGCGTGTCACACACCTGAGTCACATGCAAGCATGCCAAAATACTTTCTCACAAAAACTGTAATTTGAGATACAGTCCTCGGCATTGCTACGTGAGCTCGGCTATCAACACAAGGTCCACTGGTAAAGCGGCTGGTATCTGCGAAACCGGCTCGCTGCATCTGAGGGCAGTGCGGACAAACTAACAAACTGCTTCCCGTACTTCTGAGAGCCGCACAAACAATACTTCAATACAGCGAAGAGGAAGGAATGGGCTAAGTGACCCCCCAGATCAACTTGGACGGTTCCAGCCGTCCCTCCAGTACTCCTGTACCCTGACTAACTAGTACTGGTCGATGTTTTGCATATTGGTGCCACGCACCACTAAGAAAAACATGTTCAAGGCACGAGTACTTGTAGTGACGTGCACCACCTTTAAGCAAGACATCGAACAGCACTGGTGAGTCAGGGCGCAGGAGTAGTTGTAGCGACACGCACCACTCAGAAAAACATCGAGCGCTACTGCTTGTTCAGCAATTGAAAAACCGAAGCACGGTTCAGGGCTTCGGGCTACTCAGTGTGTGACCGCTGTAGATTTCTGTTCGCACTTGTTCGCTGGTGTCTTCTGCCTCGCAAGCTTCGGAATTGGGGAGAGAAAGATCTCATGCATCCGGATGCCCGCTGTAGATTGTTAGATCCTTCAGCGAATTCGTCACTCGAATCCTGGAACTGATTCAAAAACTTCCGGCACAGACCTGGAGAAGGCCGAAGCGCCCTGGGCGTCAATTACTTGACGCACTTCGCTTTCCATCAAGAGCCACTCTGTCTGCTCGTCGGTGACGAAACGATACCCCGCTCCAGCTTGCTCTCCTGCACGAGGCTTCCGGGTAGTAGCAAAGCTGAAGGCCCAGACTGATCTGGAAACTCTGCCATCTTGTCCGCACCACTGGGAGCTGCATGACCTAAGAGGCTGGGCGGGCCATAGCAGGGATGCGTCTGCCAGGCATCATTACTGCCTAGTCAGATCCCGTGCCATTGCAACACAGTCTCACTGTCTTGTTGTGTGTTTGCGTTCCCTAAATGTGCATCCACGGCCAGTCGGTGCAACTTTAAGGACCAGGCGCACGCTCCATCCTTGACCACAGCACCATAGTGCACTGTGACGATCGGTTCCCCGCTCGCTGCGGGGGCGAGTAGAAATCTTGGTCAGCACTCTCAGCTTTTTCAATGTACCAAAACGTCGGAGCCCAGGCACCCAGATTCCCTTCGCAAACTGCCAGTTCCATCATTGGCTGCTCCAGCCGCTATTGCATCTTGACTTCTGTCGCAGCCCCTGTAATATAACTTGCGTCGGACAACTTTAGCTCCATAACCAGTGCTGTGGGCGGCGCAAAAACTACCACAACACTTGTCAGGGCAGACCTGCGTAAGGCCACAGCACCCTGGAGGTCAATGTCACGTGAACGCACTTCCCCATCCAAAGTCGCAGCTGAAACTATCTCAAAGGACGTTCCAAAGAGCCCAGCATCTGTGTCTGGCTGCATCTGCTCGTCGGTCACGAAATGATACCCCGCTCCAGCTTGCTCTCCTGCACGAGGCTTCCGGGTAGCGTGCAAAGCTGAAGGCTGATCTGGAAACTTTGCCATCTTGTCCACACCGCTGGGAGCTGCAAGGACCTAAGATGCTGGGCGGTCCACGGCAGGGATGCGTCTGGCTGGCAGTCTTCTACTGATTGCCTAATCGAGCTGCGCCTGATAGCCGCGTCCTACACAGCGACGGGGCTGCTAAGTGGTGCCCATACAAGAATGTTGTGATAGATCAGACCCCGTTCCATTGCAACACAGTCTCACTGCACACATCCACGGCCAGTCGGTGCAACTCTATAAGGACCGGGCACACGCTCCATCGTTGATTACAGGACCACGGCGCGCTGCGGCCGCAATCGATGCGCAGCAAGCTGCAGGCGCGAGCATTGGGCCCACGAGGAAACGCCGACTTTTTCGGTAAGCACTCTTTGCCTGCTCAGGGTTCCAGGGCATCAGACCTCATGCGTCCAAGTTCCCTTCGATTGCTCCTCCTGTGAGGTCACCATATCAGCAAGACGGCCCTAGCATCTTGTCTCCCATATACACTTCAGCATGTGCCGCAGACTCCCCCACGCCTTTGCCTGTGCTTCGTAATCATCGTCATCCCAGAGATGTGTCGTCCTCGCGAGACCAATGCCTGCACTTCAGACACCAGCATCTAAAGCGCTGCATTTAGAATCCTTCTCTTTTGCGGCAAGGACAGTGGCCAGTTGCCAGTCAACAACACAGAAGCAACAATTAAGCAGCACAGGCAAAGTGCGATCCAACAGACCTTCCCAAATCCCGACGAAGAGAAAGTGAGATAACATCCAAAAGCTTTGCGGACAGCCAGCTGAGGGTAGCCAAGATCGAGGCATGTTGAAGGCAGGACAATCATGCGAGACACCTTTTTCACTGGCATCTGATAAAAAAGCCAAGCTTACTGGAGCCAGGTCACACGACAAGTCATGCGGGAGGTCCAGCACCCTCCCCCAGCTGAAGTGTCCAGACCGCACATTTCCACATGTTCATTTTTCAGGCGCTGTTGGTATCCCTGTGCTGCGCCAGCCAACGGTGAAACCCTGGAGTGTGAAGCAGCAGTCTGTTCAGCGAGACCGCTGCTGCTGAGCGTGTGTAGAAATACTCGTCGTCAAACTCCTCGCCCTGCTGTTTCAAGGTATGCCGGGCCAGGCGCCACAGCAGTTCCAGCATGGAGAAAGGAGCATGCTCAAACCATAGGCTGCCCAGGTTCATGAGGCAGCGGAAACCTGGAGCGCTGTTTCAAAGCCAGGCAGCCAGACTGATAGTTCGGAAATGCTGATCAATGTTTCTTATATTGCAAGATACTTCAAGACGGCTTAATGAGTTCCCCCTTCGCCCTCTTCAGGCGCCTCATGTGGCATATTGCCGCTACCACTTGCGGGAGGGTTTTCGGCAAGACTATCAGACCATCACTATCAACACAAAAGTCTTGTGATGCCGCCGCTGAGCTGTCCCTCCGCTCGAGCATGGCCGAATCCAGGCGAACTGAAAGCAAAGGATCTTCGTGAGCCTCTCCAAACCATTGTACGCCCCTGTCGCGAGCTTTCTCATGAAGCGACACTGTGTGAGCCAGGAGGGCGTCCCTCCTCCAGCACGCAACGTAAACTGCACGATTCCTTTCTTGCATTGCCCTACAAATCCAACGTTGTTCGGCTACAAATGCGCCTGGATAGGTCGGCAACATGCTTGAAGTGGTCAATCAGCTCCTCGGGAAGCCGCTTCCGACACTCGCATAACACCCAGCCACATGGAAGCTCTGCGGACTCCATGAGTCATAGAGTCCTTTGGCTTTGCAAAGGTGCACGACACCGCTCGACCCTGGCAGATCTCCACGGCCTTTTTGCAGGTTGAGAGGAGGGGTTCAGATCAAGCAGACCATGCACTTGCGCAGGCAAAATCCGGCAATACTACGCAACATGCGTTGTTGGGTGTGATGCTCCACATGCTCCACCAACAAAGGGGCCGGAAGCCTGACCTGAAAATGCTTTTCAATGTATTGGAGACAGCCTAAGCGGGTGTCTGTGTGTCCTGTGACAGTTGCTCTGATATGAGAGAGTCTGCTTTGGGAGCTGTCTCTCACCACGCGAACACCAGGACGTTGAACAAAAAGAGCTCATGAAACTTCCAGTGACAACGGAAGGGTGTCTGTGTCTTTTCCCCACCCTTCAATGCAGGGTTAAGATTCTAAAGGACTTCAAGCCACGTCACGGTCACCGCTCCTTAACACTCAAGCGAGATAGGAAGACATGACAGGAGACAGGAAAGGAAAGAGAACGGAGGCCGCTTACGGTTTAGGGCTCGGCCTGGCAAAGAAGCACAATGGTTCTGGCTTGTGCAAATCTACAGTAGTACAAGCCCAATGCTCTTTTCGAGCGGAGGCTCAGGCTCACAATGCTTAGCTTTTGCTTAGGAAACTTTTTATATTAAGCCATTGAGCTACAGCGGAAACATCGGGTCGGCTTTGGGGCTTTAGATTACATTCTGGATTCCTTAAGGTCTCTAAGCAAAGCCGAGGGTTCCTTCCAAGAAAAGTGGCTTGAGCTTGTTTTTTGCCAGGATGATAACGATAGCGACGGTGATAGTGAGAATCATAACAAGGATAATTGGAGCAGCTGGCATTATTGCAGATGCAAAAATCTGGGGAGGAGAGCTACGTACGAGAACGTTTTCCCGCCCTTCTCACCACCTTCTCCACTACTGCTTTCGCCGCTTTAGAATCCCCTCCGCCCTCACTACCCACCACGCCCGCCACCCCCTCCACTCCCACCAGCCTCTGCACTCTCACTCCCTATTCTCCCTGCCCTTCTCACCTTCCCGTTTTCACTGGTCTGCAATGGTTTTAGAAGAGCTCATGTGGCCCCACACCCCTCAGCCCTGACCGCCCTCGCCGCCCTCGCCATCCTACCCACCACTCCCACCACGCTCTCCACTCTCACTCCCTCCTCACCAAGTGCTTGAGGAAGTCTTGGGCGACAAAGGAAACTTGATAAAAATGGCTCATGTTTCTTGTGACACAGTGCCATGTCAAATGTGGGAGGCAGCAGCATCTGAAACTAGATGGATCTTCAGCGTTGCCCGTGCTGAGTGGCAAACCGGCAAGAACTTCCAGATGTGCATCTTTACATACCTCAACAATGGCGCTTCACTCCAGCTCCGGACAACAACACACAGGACATACCGTGACATAAAGACTGTCCACTTTCAGCAGCCCGACTCATTTGTAAGAGTGCGATGCCTATAGAGGAGGCACAGGGTCAACACGACACAATTTGCTACAACATCTACAACACAAATCTTCGCCGCCAAGCTGCGAAAGGTGAGCCCAGTCCAGTTTATCGGATTCCGACACCTCCCCAAGTCTTCCCCACTGTTCAGTGCGACTCCAACCAACATGCTGGCACAACCAATCCTCGATCTGCGCCGGCTCATAACCTGCCTGACTCGGCGCGATTCTCGAGTGTGAGCGATCTGATGGAACAGCCCTGCGCCCAGAAACCCAACAGCCTGTTCCGGCACAGCTCCACGCATCGAGAGCTCAGCCTGTGCTCTGGTCTTTGGAACAGCGGTAGAGCGAGGCGCAACAGGGCACAGCTGCGCCTCACAATCCTCCACGCCGCGTTCGCCGCGTTCCGGATCCTGGAAAGGAAGTGATGGAGAGCGGCCTTTGGCTACTCGCAACAACCTTGTCTGCATCCCTAGACATGTGCAACGCAGCAATACAAAGCGAGTTTCTTAACGTTGGTGTTTTGGGCCTTGTCTCTTGTTGCTCATGTGAACGCAAATCATGATGGGGGTATAGGTTTATTTTTAAATGCGCGACGCGTGACACGGAGGCGGCGGGACGCCCGTAACTTCGCCTATTGGGCATGATACACTCTGTGTGTGACACAATACTCTCCATTCACCCAACTGCCTTTCTCTTGGGGAAAATGGCTGGACTGCGTTAGAGTCTTTTTGGCCTGCATCTTCGCTTCAGTTTAAGCTGGTCCATGAACCGACTCGACTCCACGCCCTTTAAGACAGAACGTGCATGGAAGCCTTTTGATCACAGCGTTGCTCAGGAGCTTCTCTCCTGCGAAACATGCTTCAAGAGAGGCTCGAGCTGTCCTCCGACAAAGATCAGCTCAGGCTCTGACCAACCAAACACGCCCGAGAGCACGTCCTCTCTTTAAAGTTACAGCATTCACCGAGGTCTAAGTCTGGAGAACACTTCGGGAAGGGCATCAAGGGAACTCCTTAGACACCTCAGAATGCCCAAACCCCGCGGTCCCAAACGCTCGGGCTCACAGGGCTCAAAGGGCTCAAGGGGCCATCCCGCGAGGCCGTCGCCGTGCAGGAAGCTGCCTGCAAAGTTCAAGACAGCCTCTTTCACAACAACTCAGGGCTTAGGCGGCTTAGGGCTCAGGCCGGTCCACATGTCTGTCCGCTGCATGGGGCATACTAAAGAGGAAGCAGAATGCACAAGGAACCTGCCAAGCCTCTTCCCCGTTCACTCACGAACACAGCGCCCTAGCGGCCCTAGCGCCCCTAGCGCCCCTTCGCTCCTGCTGGTCGTCCGCGTTCTCCTTATCAGCCACATTAAAGAACTCGCAGTCGAGATTCCGGCGTGCAGGGTCATCAATGCACCTCGTTCCGCAAGAGCAATCTTACTTCTGGAAGCTGCTGTGTGCCTGACTAGCTTTGCTAGCAGCTTGCGTTTGCATGTGCCAGGTTTACTCAAATAAGCTGAGCAGCGGCCTTGGAGACAGCGCATCCTGGACCTTCTGCTTCTTCTTTTTGGTGTTTGGACTTGTGGAACAAGATGTGAGAAAGCGCTTTCTCTTCACCTTGCTCTGCATCTTCGCACCCGCAACTTCATACCTCAGAACACATTGCGAATGATTCTGCCCAATGGGTTATCCGGTTATCCCTTCTCGGTTTTCAAGAGTGGCCTGTGGACAGCAAGGCACCCTGAGAAGCGTAGATGAGGCATGGAATAAGTTGAGTGTGATAAGAAGATCATCAATGGGGACGGGGTTGGCACCTCATGATTTATCTACATTCTGTTATCTCACGCCGAAAGGGGGGGAGAGAAGGAGGGAGAGAAGGAGGCGAGAGAAGGAGGGGAGAGACAAGGGTGGGGAAGAAGGGGGGGAGGAGGCGGTGGCTTCATAATCTCTGAACAAAACTTTTCAAAAGAACATTAACAAAATAAAACACTCCCAAGAACGGCATGTGTACAACAAAATCTCTCAGCCCACCTAATCCCCCAAAAAACAGACACATTGCTAACTCGTGATGGCAAGAATCTGGACTTGGAGCTTGCATATCTGGCGCTCAAGGCTCGCAATGCGGGCAGCAATCGCACCAGATGACTGCTCTTGTCGTTCGTAGACCTTCTGCAGTAAAGTGTCCAGCCTGGGCCATCACACAAGCGCTTGCTAGCGCTGCAAACGACAGCGAGGTTCCACCATGGCTGCCACAACGCAGGAAACCATCTCAGACCCGGACGAAGTCAGCGAGGTTAGCTGCGGCTGCAACCCTTCGAAACTTTGATCAAAGGACTGCGAGTCACCAGACCTCAGTTCACTTTGGACAGGCAAGGCATAGGCACGGCATTGGTTGGTGCCGGCTGCAAATCTCCGACGGCTACGTAGCGGACTTGCAATGGTCGATCTCCCTGTGTTCAAGAACGCTTAAATATGCCATAGTCCTTTCCATGTTTTCACACACGTGAACACTTCAGCCCATGCAGCAAACAAATCTGCCCGGTTTGTGGTTCTCAAAAGCCCCCAAAGCGAACTCATGTTCGCAAGTCTCTTCGCTGGCACTATCAGTATACAACGCCTCAGCTCCTCCGGAACCTGGAATCCAGCCACCAGCAAACCATCAGGAGAGAAGTACTGTATTTTCATATAGAATGAAAAATGTCGAATTGTATTGTACAGTAATCGTCCGAGTAGTCTAATTATGTCGCATGAATAGCACAGCATTACACGACAGCACGGAAGCAACACAGCATTGCACGCCTAAGCCTCACGCGAGGAAGTAGCCATCGTATCTTCGGGCAGATCCTTCCACCGCAGCCATGCCTTGCACTCTGGTGGGTGTAGGGTTAGGGTTTAGCCTGGTATTACCTGCCGAAGATGGAAATTCAAACCAAAATGCAACCTGCTGCGACCCTGCCATGGACTGCATACTCAATTAAAGCACGCTCTTTATATCAGAGCTTAGCACGGGCCAATCTGGTTCTCTCACCAGCTACCACTGCAGCACAGCGCAAGACACTCTTCAACCAGGCCTCATCATGCTCCTCACACAAGAACTGCTGCAGAAGTCGCTGAGCCGTGGCATCAGTTGCCATGGCGACGAAAAAGGAGGACGTAACGATGAAACGACAAGGTTGGGGCTTTGATGGGTTAAGGGTCGGTGGGGGTGGGGAGGGTGCCTCCACCATCATGGATAATGTCAGCATATGTCATGGAGGAAACCCAAATCAGGTGTACTTGGTTTAGGTCGTACCGTTCACGTAAAGCGGTGCAAGTCCTGAGTTCACAAGCAGGCTGAGCGTTTTGCGTTGCTGGTGTGTGACACCCTGGGCTTCTACTGGAATCGGGGAAGATATAGCTGAAGTGGAGAAGTCCCTTTGAAAATTCAGCAGTTGCAGCTCAAGTTCTAGACGTGTACTGTGATGCCAATCTGCCGTTTTAAGTTTTAACTGCATGAGCATGTATGATCTTCAGTGCTCGAGCCTGCTTGCAATTGTGCTGCAGCACGAAAAACTGACAGGTCCCGCAATACGTAAGTTATTCTAAACATGAATTTGGTTCTATTGCAGCCTTGGGGTTCTTAGCAAACGAGGCCAGACTCCCAGCCATGCCAATCAGCGCTGACAAGGACAGAGCCGAACATCAACTTTCGCAGCACGAGTTGTTATACTGTGATGCAATAACCAAAACCATACTGTACATACTGTATTGTGGTATGACCAAGACCTGGCTGGGAAACGTCTCCGCCCGACCCGAGACATAGCATAATCAGGCGCGCTCACTCCATCGCCCAGATGCCACTTGCCACCTACCAAAAATGTCCCTCTTCCTTGGCCTTTCTTGCTTCTACACCCGCTGTACTAGGAGTGCAGCAACCGTTCGAGCGGAGCAGCTCGGCAAGCCAATTCATGCACACTGCTGAGCCAGAACTCACCCTGACCGGCGTACGTCTCAGGGCTTGAGATACAGTGTGTTCTTCGCTTCTTTTTTGCGAGACGCGCTCTTCTTCTCTCTCTATTCCTCCCCGGCTTCTCGTGGTGTTCGGGGCGCCTCTGCCGCCACGTCTCTCTCACTCCTCCGACGCCTCTTCACTCCTCCGACTCCTCCGCCTCCTCCTGCGCACTCCGCGAAGACTCCGCTAGGGAGCGAGAGTGAGAGAAAGAGTCTCTGAGCAAGCAAAACAAAGCTCAGAGCGCACTTTGAGCTGGATCTTCCACTGGATGAGCCTCTCACAAATAAGGAGTCTTTACGTCCGCTCTCATCACACTCTCCACGCTCTCCACACACTTCGCGCACTCCACTCCACCTCACGTTGAGGCCCAGGATTCCCGAGAAGAGGACCAGCTGGTTGAAGGAGCCTTCGGCAAGGCTCTGAGCTTTTCCGTGAGAATTTTCGGTTCCTCAGACCGCTGCGAAAAGGGCTCTGCGAATCTGCCTCGCCAGGGCAGACCCCACACGATGCCGCGCAGCGGACGTGGCCTAAAGAAGGAGTGATCCACATGCTGCAGATAAGGACAATCAAGGACAAGAACAGGAGCAACAATGACAGAGCTCACAAAACCGCTTGGCATCGCTATGTAAACTTGAAGTTCCTCAGCTTGCCTCACGAAACCTGGCAGCCGCGGAGACTGGCACCTGTAAGAGTTAGCGTTGCGTCAGAAGAAGCACTCTAGCTTGTTGCTTCCCCATTGGCGCCGCAACGGAACATGCTCAATTCGCCTCGGCTTCCTGCCGAGAAGCGTCTGGAACAAGCAGACCCGGATCGGGCCTCCTTCCCCCTAACCCCACCCTTCCCCCCATGCCAAATTTTCTAACGCCAACCCCCCCCCCCCCCCCCCCGCCCTGTGGGACCCCGCCCAATCCCTTGGAGGAGCTGCAAACCCATGCCCTTGGGGGTCCCGCTTGTCGGTGGCTCCTACAGGGGGAGTGCCTCACCCCCCCCACCCCAACCCCCCCCCCCCCGCCCCACCCCCCCCCTCATCCCCCCCCCCCCCCCCCCCCCCCCCCCCCCCCCCCCCCCCCCCGCTCTGCCCTTCCTCCCTCTTTCCTCCTTTCCTGTCCTGGGGCCGGCCCGGCTGCCGAGGCGGCGCGCGCAAGCGTTTACAATTACACCGCCGTCATATGTCAAATGCGATTGGTGTTGAGAACAAGGTGCTTGCTGCTTGCCAAAATGACATGCCCAGCGAACCTTTGGATGACGCTGACGTAGTTGATGGGTGATGTGAAGACAGAGACGACACTGTTCCCACAAGCCTCTGGAAAAAAGCAAGGAGCGAAAGAGGGGGTGTGAGAGAGATGCAGCGGCAGAGTGCTGCGCAAACAGACAAGCCAGAGAAAGAGCGAGAGCGAGAGCGAGCAAGCGAGAAAGAGCGAGTGCAAAGAGTGAGCAACAACGAACAAACGAATCAAAAATTGATGCGTGCGCAAGCAGACAGTGACACACTCAGAACCACACCTGCGCAGGTCCACACAAGCCAAAAAAACACATGCACACCCACACAGATAAACATACAGACGTGGGCAGGGATGGAGCGACAAACGCAAAAGTAGAGAGAGAGAGAGAGAGAGAGATGAGAACAAAAGGGCACTGCGATCCTTCAAGACGAGTTTGTCGGCTGCATCCGCGTTTCCGTGGTCAATGCAGGCTCCCAGCAACATGTCCATGGCCTCAGAAAAATCAGTGTACTCTGCGCGCTCAGCACGAGTTCTGTGGAACTGCACGGTCCTTGCCTCCTCGAAAGCAGTCGACAACAATGAAGCACACAGCCCACTGAAGAGGGACCATATTCCTTCCTCTCGGCCTCACAACGCTTAAGAGCTGCCCAGCCGCGGTCGCTCATGAAACCCAGCCCCGCCACAGCACTTCAGTGTCTGACACCATTCGCCCAACTTTTGCCAAGTACTCTCCTCACTGCGCACACAAGTTTCCGAAAATAAAGTACGGCACATGTGCTTTCAACCCAACATGGTCATGTCAACGGCTTTTAAGTACATGTTGTGGATCGCGGTTCTTCCTTTGGCTTGCCAATGGTCCATCAATTGAAAGACTAACCACTGCCTCCCAAAAAAACTGCTCGGGGCAATGACAAACTGCGTAACCCACTGCTGATGTTCCAAGCAAAACATGCCTTCCACGAATAAACGGAGACAGCCATTGCGGGCTGAGAAGTGACCATTCAACTCGCTTCAACTCGCTTGACTACCCGGCGCATTACGCGCTGCTCCACACCACTGCAGAATCTCTTTCTGCTCAGCTGCAGGCATGTTTTACTGCAGAACTGCCGAGCAACGATCTCTGTACTGGTTCTTTTGACTGTGCTGCTCCAAGTGAGGTCTTCTTGCATAATTTAATAACTAAAAAGCTACCGTCTCTGCTGTGTTGGCACTGCCAATCAGTAAGGATGTGATTGGTTAGCGAATGTGTTTCCTGTCTGGTACCCAATCATGCGCTCTTGATCAACCTTTACGAGACAGAAAGAGGATGCATTGCACAGGAAAAGTGCGAAAGGGCGGGACGAAAGCTCTGCCCCGAAAAGGGTTTCAGGCCTGCATAAACTGTCTTTGGAATACGTACCGCTGACATGCCAACCCAACGCCGGCTATGGGCCCGAAAGAGAGGAAGAGAGAAAGAGAGGAAGGGGGAGAGAGGGAGAGAGAGATAGGCAGAGGCAGAGAGAGAGACAGAGACAGAACCAGACAGAGAGAGAGAGAGAGAAAGAGTGAGAGAGCGAGACAGAGAGAGAGCGAAAGAGAAAGAGAGAGGGAAAGACAGCGAGAGGGAGAAAGAGGGAGACAGAGAGAGAGAGGTGAACAGAACCTGATCGATTGCAGGGATGAGCAAAGCTCACGAAAGAGCTCGAGAATGCCACGGAAAAAAGGGTGCCACTCACAGGGCGGGGTTTGCAACGATTGTTGGCAGGCCTGCTGGCTGCGAATCCCCCGCGCCTGTCGATTCACCTCTACGTTTGCAGATGTTACTTGCAACAAATATGCGCTCTTGTTACTCAAACTTCAAGCTCTTTAAAGAACGGCACAGAAAGAAAGATCCCCAGCTGCCATCACTTAGAGGTTTTCGACAAAACACCCGAGATGTTGTGACAGAGGGGTCCTTTTTCTTTCGTTTTTGCAACAAACGGCTCAGAGATGGCAATCTCCTGTCGCTCTTTCAGGAAAACACAAACCCTTCACGAAGTAAATCAATCCGTCTACAAGTTGAAGACAATGTAGGACGCGGAAGCACGCGCACAGCAAGGCACCGACACCAAAAACATAGTGAGCGCATGTCAGCACATGTCAGCACTCTCCTCACTCTTCAACATCACTACGCGCGTGGAGGCCAGAAGAACTGGATAGCAGAGCGCATCGATGCCGTACTTGACTGCCAGCCTCAAGAACGTCAGTGTGCTCAAACGGACCAGGTCGTGACAGAAGACACATGTTGAGAACCTCTGCGTGTTGACTTTCGTAGCCACCCACAACGGGTTTCCGCTCTCTGAGACTCCACATCCCTCCGCACCTCGCTGCCTTCCAAGCTGGGCCGCGCCTCTCGAAGGAGCCAAGCTCTCCCCTTTTCTCCAATCTCTTACCTTCACTTAGTAACACCTCACTTTTGTGAAATCAGGTGCCCTGTGCCAACGTTTGTCAACTATCGCCTTGTATTCCGACCCCCTGGGATCTCAGCCAAGCGCCGGAGGCTGTCGCGCAGCACCTCCAACACGTGATCGCACTCATGCATCGATGTATCATCTCAACTCCCCCTACATTCCTACTCAGGATGTCAGAGCAAATCATATGCAAAAGCTGAAAACTTTGATATAAACAACCTCCTCATCTTTTTCGTGAGCTCCGAGGTGCGGGTTTTGTCTCGATTTCTGGGTGCCCCCCGCGGCTCTCCCTCCCCCTCACCTCTCCCTTTTGCCCGCATCGGGGCCTAACCTTATTCGCTAAATCCTAAACGAAAAGGGCTAGTTTGTTTAGGATGTAAGGGCTCGCCTGGGGGCTCTCCTCTCTAGGGTTTGAGAAACCCCCTCTCTTTACAGGATTTTGATTCAGGGATCCTGTTTTTTCCCGAATGCTCCGCAGAAGGGTTCCCGTTTTGAAGTTGGGGGGGAGGCTACCAAACGTCGTTGCGTTGTGTCCGCAAAGCGTCCGCAAGCGTACGCAGAGCCTTCGCAGAGCATCCGCAAATCGTCCGCAAGCGTCCGCAAGCGTCCGCGAGTGGCGTAATACCGTAATGCGCGCTGTTAAGGGGGAACTGCACAGGACGCGCGCCGCCGCGGCGTTCCACGTGGCGTTCCGCGGCGTTCCGCGTCCGTCAAGCTAAGGGGGAACTCCACAGGACGCGCGCCACCGTGGCATTCCACGTGGCGTTCCGCGGCGTTCCGAATCCGTCAAGCTAAGGGGGAACTCCACAGGGCACGCGTCCCGGGGCGTTCCACGTGGCGTTCCGCGGCGTTCCGCATGCGTCCAGCTAAGGGGGAACTCCACATTCCGCGGTGATCCAAATCCATCAAGCTAAGGGGGAACTCCACAGGGCACGATTCCCGGGGGCGCTCCGCGTGGCGTTCCGCGGTGTTCCGAATCCGTCAAGCTAAAGAGGAACTCCACAGGATGCGCGCCCCCGCGGCGTTCCATATTGCGTTCCGGTGGTCCTGTGGTGTGGTCCCGTGGTGGTGGTCCCGTGGTGGTGGTCCCGTGGTGGTGGTCCCGTGGAGGTGGTTCCGTGGTGGTGGTTCCGTGGTGTGGTCCCGTGGTGGTGGTCCCATGGTGGTGGTCCCGTGGTGGTGGTCCCGTGGTGGTGGTCCCGTGGTGGTGGTCCGTGGTGGTGGTCCGTGGTGGTGGTCCGTGGTGGTGGTCCCAGATGGGGGTCCGTGGGGGTCCGTGGTGTGGTCCCGTGGTGGTGGTCCCGTGGTGGTCGTCCGTGTTTGTGGTCCCGTGTCCGTGGTGGTGGTCCGTGGTGGTGTGGTGGTGGTCCGTCCGCCCGCCACCGACGTTTCGTTTATATTGCGTTATATTTACGTTATAGGTGACTGCTTTCTGCATTCGAATTCGTGGATCCTATCAGGTTTAGAATTGAGCGAAAAGGACTTAGGGAACAGGGTCTTGTTTTAGGCACTAGTTATGGAATTAAGGACCACCGCCGTCTTCAGCATGGTTTACGCAATAGGATGTGGGGAATAGGACTAAGGAAATACGATTCGGGGATCCCGCTCTTTAGGGCTTAGCGAATAGGATTTAGGGAATAGGATTTGTGTTTTTGGATTTAGGGGCTCTCTTCTTCGGCTTCAAATGGCCTCCCCTTTTATCCGATTCGGGGCTCTAAATCTGATTCGCTACATCTTGCTCCCAAATCCTCTTCCTACATCCTATGCGTTGAGGACTTAGCAAATAAAATTGAAGCCCTGAGGGGGGGGGGGTGACTAAAACCACTTCAGGATTTAAAAAACCTTTTCCGCTGAGATTGAGAGAATCGGATTGAGGGACGAAGATTTGGGATCGCCCCACTTTAGGCTCGGCCAATATGATTTAGCCTTTCTTTCCAGTTTAGGGACTTGCCCCTTTAGGAAGTAGTTTAGTTTAGGATCTACTTAATCTACGCCTCGTGGGGGGTATTAAGGATTTCTGGACGGAGACTACGATTTGTGCACCGCGCTTGTTTTGGGTGTCGGGTCTCCGGTGTCAGTTTACTTCGGGTTCGGGGTGAAGTTTTTGGGGCAACCTGGCAGCCCACGAAGCACATTGAAACCGCAGTGGTTTGCGTCGAAGCTTAAGGGTTCTCGTGCGCCGGTACTGCCTGAGCCGGAGGCTGTAGAAATGGGGGGGTTGGGTTTTCCTTAGGTCCCGGCAGGCTTGATTTAAGGCTGACTTTTGTTGGGCACAGAGTTGTAGTCATTCATCGTCTTCAACCGGCTCACGAAAAACACGAGCAGTGACACATTCGTGCTGTGAGAATGCTGAATCGAAGGCGTTGCTGCTTTGTTTGGCAAGAGGCTGCGGTCACAGGGCCATCAGTAAATCGTAACCTTCATTCGTTCTTTCAGAGCTGGGCAAAGGCCGCCCAAATAAGGAACGTGCGCGAATCATCGCGAAACACTTGGTCTGGGACCTGATGCAGTAGATAAAGATGACCTCCGCGGAATACCCCAGGCAAGCCCTCAGACTGGTACCTGAGCCAAGGGCAAAGAAAGGAAGTGCTCGCACTTAAAGATGCTTTTCATGACTTTTCCTTCGCTCGTTCGCCCTTTCAGTCAGCTTTCATGCTTTGTACAACTCGCTTCCATTCATGCAACGAGTCGCGTGTGGCGAAGCCGGCGGAAGGATGCGGCGAGGGAAGAGGCCCGCGGCCCTCGATCCTCTCCGCGCAATCCCGTGCAAAGCCACAAGCTGCTGCAAGCTGCTGAAAACAAGCATTGCAACCGGGCACCACTCTTCTCTCTTCTCATTCTGGAGACTCCTCGTCACACAAAAGCCTCACATTGTTGGCCACTAAAGGATACGACACCTGGCACACAGAGACGACAGAGACTACAGAGACACTGCAGAGAAGAAACAGGAGCCAATGCAGAACGGGCACCAGCTGCAATGGCGAGGGCAGGAATGACATGCGACGACTAAGGCCTTGGAAGGCGTGAGACATGTGAACACCACATGTCAGCGCCATGCGATCTTAGCAAGGCCATATTATAATATAGGACAACTGCAGAATCGGTTCGCAGAACAACACGGGCTTAGGGCTCACAAGCAGTACCGGTCAAACGGGTCAGTGGGGTCAGTGTGCAAGGAGACTTAAACGGAGATAGTTTCCACAATTTCACGTCGTTCCGTTCAAGGAAGAAAAAACATTAAGACAGCAAAATGACTACAAAAAGGAAGAAAACACTGACGATAGCACCGGTCGGCCCCGAACTGCTGACTGTGAATTATGGCTGCATTTCTCCCGGAATTCCGCCTCGGATGTAGCTTCCTCTTCTGGCCATTTCCGCCTGCGCCTCCCCTTCCACGTTCCCTTACTTCCGTTCTGAGGGCGGCGCAGAACCAGACTGAACCACTCTTGGAGACTGCAAGCTCTATCGGCTCACAGGCTTAGGGCAGCTGAGAAACATATGTTCCCAAAAGCACCAGATCCAAACCAATTCAACGAGAAAGATATGTTGGATCCGGAGCTGAGCCGGCCTCCGCAGCTGAGGAGGCAATTGGCCAACAAGCCCGTAAAAGAGTGCGCTTCTGCTTTTCTCGTTCACCTTCCTCGACTTTGCCCTGTGAAGGTGTCTTTTCACTACAAAGTAGGCCGTCATACGGAGTCAGGCATCGACTTGAACGAAAAACTTGTTTAACTTCCGGGGTTGCGTGTAGAACGACGAAGCTACCAGCATGTCTAGACTGAGGCCTGGACTTTGATCGTTTTCGGCCGACCTTCGATGAAGCCCAACACTGAGCAGCCCGGGCCTAGCACTCCGGCTCGGAGCCGCGAAGGCGACTTGCGCGGCCTGGTGCCACTCTTCAGCTCCTTTCACACGGAGGCATGGGCGAGTCGTAAGACATGTTCTCCAAAGGAGCTAACAAAATAACTGGGGGTCTCGAATCACCTTGGCTTAGTAAGGCTTAATAGCCGCTAGCTGCGAGCTTCCGGTCGGGGGGGATCTTACAAGAAACGAAAAGACAAGCCCCCCAAGAGGAAAACGCCATAATTTCAATTTCTTTTTGCACAAAGCACGAGCCCCTCTCTTTCAAAACTCACTCTCCCTCCCTCTCTGTTCGAGGATTGAGCATGCTCCCTCTCAGCTCCGCTCCTCGTTCTCATCGTTCTCGTCGCGCGAGACGCCGCGCTCTCCATTGCGCATTGAGAAAGAATGTAACGAGAACGAGAGAGGAGCTAAGCGACAGAAGAGAGAGAAGTCGTTTCCCTTCCTGCTTTTGCCTAGTGTCCAGCCTGCTCCCCGCATTTAAAACCTATCTCTTCTGTGGACTATGGCTACCAGCTCTGCTCACCCAACCTAAGCTATCCAACCTCCTATGCACTCCATACCTACATAGCTCGACATGGCAGCACTGGCAGCAAAGCCTTGCAGACTGCGAAGACTGCGAAGACTGCGAAGACTGCGAAGATGCGAAGACGCGAAGACTGCGAAGGCGCTCTTCTCAATTTGAGAGGGCTTTTCATGGCTTTTCCTTTCGAGGAGTTCCGGTGACGGGTCGTTCCCGTAGACTGTAAGGTGAGACCGCCAACTTGCTCGCGGCCTGTGGCGTAGCCACGGCCATGGGCGCTTCTTCTTTTTCAAGCGCAGCGACGCGGAGAGACACAAAGGAGAAAACTCACCGAAAACTCCACGTGAACGTGTAGAGAGCTGCTTTCTGGGGCGCTTCTTTTCGATTTCTATAGTATGCCAGTGCCTTTGAGTCTCCTCAAGCGAGGGCGGGGCGTCATGGCGCCAGACGGCCCTCCCTTTCATGCGCCCCGGAGCTGAGCATACTCCCCCATCTGGGCCTGCACCTCCAGCATGACCTGTGTAGTGAACTCTGCATTCTCACTACAGATGTATCATGTATCATCATGCACACGTGCAAACACACTGCGCACGCAAGTGCGCCACAGACGGCTTCTTCAGTCTTCTCCCGGCCTCCTCTCTGAGGGTGGTGCGCATCTCCTTCTTCAGATACCGCCTCGAGGGAGAGGAAAGGGAGATGAAGGGGAGGAATGGGCGCTCTACCGGGATCTCCGGGGATCTGGCTTGTACATCAACATGCAGACCTCGGCAAACAAAAATAGATGAAGTGCAGCAGAAGTAGAAGAAGAAGTAGAAGAAGTGGGCAGAAAGGGGACTCCTTGAGACCAGCGGCGAAGCCCAAGGCTACCGTGGCCAGGAGCCAGGCGAGGAGCTCTCCGAAGCTCACCCCGCCCTGAAGTGTTTTGTGTGAGCAGAACATCTTCTTCAGCAGTCTTATCAACAGCTTTTTTCAACAGTTTTTTTTCAACATCTTGCGGAGCAACTGTTCTGAAGCCGGCAACCCGCTCTGCGCTTGCGATTCACTGTGTTACTTGCGTGCTGTGGGCGACCCCTCTGAAGCCTCTGCAGCCCTCTCGAGATTTCAATCTGCTCTCGTGCTGTTTGGCATTGAAATATTTCACTCCACATCGGCTGAATTTCTCACAGGGGCAGCTCGAAAGTGCTTCTATGTGCTTCTCTTCCTCTGCTCCCTAAGCCCTACCCCTGTTCCTCTCACTGATCTCTTCTGCCCTTCTCCCTTGCGGCTCTGTTCTCGCTGTATGCATCCACGCCGCACTGGGGGCAACAACGTAAGGCCGGAAAACGTCCCGCTTCTCTATGAGCTGAGCGCATTCCGAGGGCCTGTAACAAAAATGCTGAGCGAAATGAAAACAAAGAAGAACAAATCATACACATCGTCACCACATGTCTTCGAGCAGATCAAGGCAAATGCAACTAGAAGCCGGGTAGCTGGTGGATGAATCCAGAACACACCGCACGGACGACGAGGTCGGCTGTGACGATGCCCTTGAAGCGCCAGCCGTTCACCCGGATCGCTTGGTCCGACCAAGCCTGGTTCCCATATGACTTGTCTAAAGCTGTGAATGTTGTCGGATGAGGGAAGCCAAAAGCACTCAGATTTCTGAGCCAAGATGTGAATTGTCAGTGCGCATGCTTGGCGTCGCATGCTGCCAGTACCGAGTCTCATCGGCTGGTTCGGATAGGTTCTAGCACTTTTCGCACTTTCGTGAGTGGAAGGTGACAAAGTGAGGATTGTGACTGTTGTGGCTTCAAGCTTTCCGGTGCACACAACTGTTTGTGTTTCTCGTGGTCCAAAAGACCATGGGAAGAGCACGTCACCTCTCGGTTTCGCGCTTTCCCCGACAGGTCAATGCAGCACTGCTCCAGAAGCATATGAGGGCTTCCAACATCTGGGCCAGGTTCCTATACTAAGGATTAGAGTCTTTTGGGGGGATGAACGAGCAATAGGACTGGACCGACAAGCACCTGCAACAGATCCTTTATCTCCAACCAGGCGCGAATATGGAAACCCCAAGAATGGTGCATGGCCAGAAGTCGGCTCGCCCTTTTCGGTAGCTCATGTAAAACGGCATGTCTACAATCACAGCTACTGAAGCAAAAGGCGTGCATTCAACCGCATTCATGGAAGCAGGAAGAGTCTCAAGCGAAACAGCATCTCCTTCACAGTGGCAGCGAAGATTTTCAAGTGATCAAATGAAACGTGAACATGTCAACTGCTTCAGAGAGATGTCTTCTTTTGAATTTCTGCCTCTGGGGAAAGCACACAATGGTCATATGCCTTTTGCGAAGACTGGCGCGCCTACTTTCTGCTTCGCCATATGGCTGGGTCCAAGGGGCCCCTGCGAAAGGATGGTCTCCAATCATGGAAGAAACATCCCCCGGTTGTGGTGCGGTGGCGGGGTTTTCAGGGGTTGATGTTTGATGTTGGGATTTTCCACTTTGAAGCCCTACAGAGAAGTTGTGTTAAGTCCGGGGCACTGTGGGGCGCGCTGTTTACGAGCTGCTCGTTCGATGTCTGCTGTGTAAGCAGTTTACGTGCTATGACGCATCCTGCCCAAGACATGTCAATATGAGATCGGCAGTTAGTAACACGAATAAGCCGCGTTTCATATTGACATTGTATTTCTCTCCTGCCCATTTACTTTATTGAAACGCGTACGAACAGAAGCAGCTGTCCTCAAACTGACCTGCTCCTGCTGCTGAGGGCGGCGTGAACGAAAGAAAACGCTCCAAGAGACTAAGAGAGGCCCGAAGCCCGCCAACGCTTACTTCTGAGGGCGACACGCGAGACTACACGACGCGGAAGGCTGCACAGACGAGGGGACTTTAAGCTTTAAGAACCGAAAGAAATCAAACGACTTCTTCCCAGATCTTCCCAGCGTCTTAGCGTCTTGTTGAGAGTACCGAAAGTTCGCCTCGGCTTCTTTTGCGACCTGCTGGGACCCCCCCCCCACTGTTGAAACGGTCCCACGGACCCTGCAAACCCCTACTCCTGAACTCATGACGTGCGTGATGCTGCACCAAATGACATAGGACTTGGCGTTCCTAATTTGCGATGCGGGCGCTGCACCCCCGCGTTGGGCCAGCCCGGCCGCCGAGGCGGCGCGTGCAAGCGTTTACAATTATCGTACCTCTTGTTAACATAAAAGAAGTTGTGTCATGAACTAACAAACGTGAAACATACAAAAAGCTTCCCCGCTCTACCTCATGGACAAATACAAAAATGGAAATAAGAGAGCGGATTATGCGTACAGTATGGGGCACAAGGCTTCAGCAAGGCCTTAAGATTAATGAGAAGCCGGGGCCAACTGCATTCTCTCAAACGCAACTTAAAGCTTGTCGCATATCAGAATTGATCAACGCTTTCCTGCCATTAACCATCATTAACCAATACAAAAAGAGCGTCGCAGCTTCACGCTTCGAAACGAGGTTTCCTGACCCTTGGCTGGGGCGATCTGGGAAGGTCTGTGCTAGTCGGGCTTGAGGTCTTTGGGAGCCAAGGATGTTCAGGGTTTGTGGGTTTGAGTGCTTGCGTGCTAGGAATTAGTTTGGGGGCATGTCAATGCCTGACTTGCGTAGAAGATACAGCGGCCGGAAAGTACTTCCATGAGGGTTCGTGAGTGATTTTTCGCAGCTGCTCGCGCATGAGTAGACGCAAAGTAGAAAGTCATATAAGACACAGACGAGCCAAGACAACCAAAGCGAAGCACAAAGGAGAGGCGAGCCGAAAGCAAAACGTTGAATTCTGGGTCAGAACGGAGGCTGAGTGTGCGCTGTGGGTGCGCTGGACATGGACCGCAACGTCGTGCGCCGCATCGTGCGATGCGTGGAGCCGAACTCGGACGCGGTGAGGTGATGCTTGTGTTTTGAGGACTTCAGGCTTACTTTTACAGCGGATGACAGTATGCTCTCAGCATGCAATTCCTCTTCATGTATCGAGACGAAAACCGCAAACACACCTCAGATCATCTCAGCAGATCGCAGCACACAGTACCCGGCCGTGTCTCGGAGCTGTTGCCTCAACTTCCTGGCAACATCCACAGAGTATGGCCATCTTGGGCTCTCGCGCTCTTTCCGATATTGGAGAGAAAAGAGTTGTGTTTTGCCTTTTGCCCCTTTTGCCCCTTTTGCTGTTCTCTCTGTTCTCTCTCTCTTTTCTTCGCTCTCAGCTGTATCTCGAACCTTCGAAGAACTGGCCGGGGAGACTCCACCTTGGTCGTCATCGCGCACTGGATGATCTCATCCGGGTCGACGCCGACCTCAGAAGAAAGCACGGGGGGAGGATGTGCGTGCTTTCGACGTTTTCCACATCTCTGCCGTCTCCTCGCCTCCTTCATGACCGCGATGGAGCACTCCTGGCCGAACTTCTTGGCCCCAGTGCCATCCACGGGGCACCTCGCAGCTCAAAGCGACGTGCACGACGTGCGTGGGATCTGTGGCTCTGTCAATTCTCTTGCCTGACCGGATACTTCTCCATGTAGTCCCAGTACTCCTTTGCATACCTTAGTCTTGCAATCTCACAGCGAGGCCCACACAACCCGCAAAGTACCTTTCTTTCAACCTGACTCTATTCCATTCTATTCCTACTCTCTTCAATGATTCCATTCTGATCGAGCCGAGCCGCTCGACGATCTGACCACCTCTGCTGACCTCCATGCTCGTCCTGCGGAGTGCAGACAACCAAATTGTCAATTGGCATATGACAAGTAAAGAGGTGATTTGCTCGTGCTGTTTTCCTTCTGTGTCCTCTAGACTCTAGCTATGCTTGGTGGAGTCCCAACGCTCCTGCTAACCTAAGCCTCAAGACCATGGGCAAATGCAAAGGGGTTCGCAAGTTCGCACCGCCCAAAGCGCGCGCCTCGAACGCATAAAAACCCGCGGCTCGAAACCAGGAAAAACCACCCAAACACCCCAAACACCGTACGCCGGAAGCCACCGGAGCGTGTCACAACAACAAGTCATCAAAGTCTGGAATGCTGTCCTGGCGACCTGCACTCAGCCAAGGCAGAGGCAACAAATGAAGAAGAACTGACACGGACTTTCGTAGCTGCCTTCTTGGCTTCGTGAATGCACAGCTGCCGCACATCCTCCTCAAGGACCTAGTCATTGGGCACTCCAGAGGCAGCAAAGGTGAGTGCTCAGAAAAGAGCATGCCCGAACTTGCCTAAGACGGGAAAGAACGGAAAAATGTGGCACACTTATAAACTTGAAAGCGCGTCCTCCTTGCCCGTCACATCCCCCGCACCATCTGGATCCTCCCACCACTCCACAAAAGTCACACACTGCAGCAGGTCTGAAGTGTCAACCCTCGTGTTCTCTTGGGGCTCTTGGGGCACTTGGGGCTCTTGGTGCTTCTGGCTGTTGATTCTCTCTCTTCCCTCTCTTCCCTCTCTCGCTCTCTCACCCTCTTGGTGCTGTTGTGGTTGGTTGGGGGGGCCATTTCTGACATGAAAGAATGTGACTTCTTCCCCTCCACATGAAATGCTGTTTGTCCATCTAATGGAACACGATGCGTCGTTGCAGGCATGTAGGGTTCGTGCTTGGACGCTGATAGCAACTTGGTGTGTGTGTGTGGCTTTGGGAATAACGAAGCACTATGATACAAGCTCCCGCCCTAACAAACCTCTAACCAAAAAAAAACAGCAATCAGCTCCTTCCTGGCCCGAATAACCTTGCCCCTGCGCTCCGGAACCCTCCATTTCGCCTTTATCTCTTCTCGGTTTTTCAATTTCCCTACTGAGCCGCTGATGCGGAAAAGAGGAGCGCTCAAAACGAAACAGCTCGAGAACCCTCCATTAAAACCTGCCTCAAGCCTACCAATACGACTTTCTGAGGGCGCAAGGATGTTGGTGTTGGGCCTCTCGCTGGCTTGGCTTGACGACATCTTGGCGAAATCGCCGAGGACATGGGCTGGGCAATGTATTGAGGGGTACTTCAAGTACTTCATTCCAGATCGGGGTGTCGGATCTCCTCCGCACAGAACTCGCCCTTGCTTCCTGCACTATCCAAGCAGACCCCGGAGTACACTGCCTGAGTGAAGGGAAACTGCACGCCAGAACTGCACAGAAGACTCGCACACACCACAAAATCACTGAGCTGCACGCTGGGTCATTGGTGTCCATGGAGAAGACAGCCTCAGACTCCCCTTCAGAGGCGATGGGAATTGCTGCAACTGTTGCAATTGTTGCATGCTTGATGCTCTTTGCCTTTGAGGTTTGTCTCTCTGGCAAAATTTCGGAACCCAATCTCAAGAATTGATATTTTTCAGGATTTTCCCCAACCCAGTAAAACAGTCAAAAACACTTGAAACACTTGAGAAGCGTAAGCGCGCAAATTTCAAGTTCTGGAATTCCGAGTGACGTTCCCCATCCCGTTAAAACACCTGAACACTTGAAACACTTGAACAGCTTGAAACGCTGGAACGCATTTCTCTGCAGAGATCCGTTCCGTTCTGGCATTTCGTCTCAAGTGATTTGAAGCACTTGAAACACTTGAAACACTTTTCTCCGGGGAGAGAGTGTTTCAAGCGTTTCAAGCCTTTCAAGTGTTTTCAAGTGTTTTCAAGTGTTTTCAACTGGTTTAATGGGCTGGGGCAAACTTCTGGGAATTCCCCAATCCATTAAAACACCTGAAACACTTGAAACGCTTGAAACACTTAAAACAGTTGTCTCCGGAGATAAGTGTTCAAGTGACTCAAGCTTTCACAAAACACTTGAATATCCCTCCACGCAAGGAAAGTAAATGCTTCAAGTATTTCAAGTGTTTCAAGTGCCTTAATGGTCCTCGGGAGCCAGGAGTTTCAGAGACTGATTAAAACACTTGAAACAAAACCAAAAAATCTAATGTAATCCTTGGTATATATACCTCTATTTATATATTCTATTTTACTTCTTACATGACAATACAGATCTTTTTCAACATGTCATATGTTCACCAATATTATCTAATGAACCTGTAAATTCAACATGTTACCGCATTTTTCAACATTTTGCCGCATTGTCCGATTTTTAATATGATACGGTGGTGCACGCTTAAGGGGCTTAGTGGGTCTAACCACAAGTGGACGAACATTACGGGGCTTAGAGGGCTTAGGAGGGGATGGCAGACTAAAGGGACAACTATGTAGGAGAGGGCTAGAGAAGCCCCAACTCCGGGATCTCAACCAACTCAAAACGATTGTTGAAGCTGCGGGTTGACTCCACGGCCGCAGGGGCGCGTTTCCTTTATTTGCTCCGTAGCCACCCCCGCCCGCTCACTTACTGCTCGTGGCCTCGTCCGAGTTCCTCTGAAAACCCTAAACCCTCAAACCCCAAACCCTCAGAACGAACAAACCTTAACAACACGAACCCCTTTTACCAGAAACCCAAAATCCCTAAACCCCGAAAAGCTCTTCAAACCCTAAAGTCCCCAAAAGCCCTAGAAAACCTAAAACCCTGGAAACCCTGCCCCCCCCCCCCCCCCCCCCCCCAAAAAAAAAAAAAAAACAACACAATACCTTATAACATTTAAAAAACCGTAAGCTGCTCCCAACAAACCCTAAAGCCCCAAACCACCTTAACACTCCCTAAATAGACACTCTACACCTAACGAATCGTAAACCCCAAAACCCTAAACACCCGAAACCTTAAAAACCCTAAACCAGCCCGCTGTCTTACTCGGTCTCGTTTTGCTGACTCAGCTCTTTGGCCAACTCTGTGCAGGACTCGGATCGCTTGTTCTGGTACGGCCCGCGCTTGACTCAAGAGGGGTCTCTATCGGATTCGTTTCATACAAATCGGTGTTCCAAGTGTCGCTCGAGATTCGCTCTCAAGTTGCAGACTCCGTTGGAGACTCCAGTGTCTCATTGCCACGCAACAGAGCACACGTTTGGGGGTCCGCACGTAATGAGGGTTGAAGATCATGACCTCGTTCAGGACCCGCCGCTTCGGGGCAAACTCCTACACACCGGGCAGTGGCGCGAGCAAAAGGACCGTGTTCTCTATCGTTGCCTCTTGTTCTCCCGCTCTCTCTCTCTCTCTCTCTCTCCCTCTCTCTCTCTTCCTGTTGAACTCTCTCGCGAATGAGTCCTTGAGGAATTGCATGGACTGGCTGGAGCCCGAGCTCATCCACATGTCCATGGTGACCACATGATCGGTTGGCAAGTTCCACGCCAACTCGATCACGACCTGGCGACATCCCGATGTCGAGATGATTCCGAGATGGTCATTGGCTGTTGTCGCGGCAGAGGCATGTTGCTCTTGCTCTTGTGGTGTCTGGGGGCGCTTGATTATGTTCATTCCTGTTGTGCCGGGAGGCTGCAATCGTGGCGGAAGCACTTTTCACAAAAACTTGCGTAGCAAGAGGGTGAAATAGAGGATTTTCTACTGGAGGACTTCTTGCTTCTTTTGAGAGTACTAAAGAAAGAAAAGCTTGCCTATGCAAAAGAATTGGCATGAGGAAACTCAAGCTAGCACCATTGACTTATCCCCGCTTTGCCGACTGAGCGATCAAAAGAAACACCGCATCTCAATACAGGAATAAGAACCCCATCGCACGTATGCAACAATATCTGAGTTTGACGCAAAAAGGTCTAGTTTTGAAAGTTCCAACGCTTGTTTTCTTCACGTTCTTGCGCTAAGGCCTTACTTGGGTTGTCGGAAGGACTGCTTTTGTAACAACACGCAGGCAGGCGACTTCACCTGCTTCACTGAGCGATCAGAGGAATGCAGGGGGTTCAGATATGAATCTCAAGGGTCGAGAATCGGGGGAAGAGAGAAGTTAGAGGCGTTTCAATGTGTTCTCTGCTCTCTCAAATGTTCTCCCCCTCTCTCCGGTTCTCGACCTCCGTGGACTGGACGGCGCTGATGAGCTCCTGGCCGTCCTCTTTGGAGATCAGGACCTCACCAAAAAAAACAACTTAAGAAAACCACAAGGTATCAGACACACAAGACAAAAGAAATACACGAAAAGCAACACAAACACATACACACACACACACAACATTCTTGCACTGTGCAGAGAGATTTGGCGTTCGCGACGCCCGTGTGCGACGCCAGTGAAAATCCAAGCTCGGCCAGCCGCCGAGGGAATGTATACACTGCTGCCGTAGCCGTCGTCGGCCACGATGATATTCGACAGGCTCTGGGCCGTCAGGGTCGAGTCCTTTTTCAGCATGTTGTTTTGGTCTGTTCGAGAAAGTGCGAGAAAGTGAGAGAAAGTGAGAGAAAGTGAGAGAAAGTGAGAGAAAGTGAGAGAAAGTGAGAGGAGCTGAGAACCGAAGGATTCCCGCCGTCTTTTGCTCCCCTTTGTTTGACTTTTAGCTCTTGGCTCTCCAAAACGCTCTCCTCGCGATCCACGATGATCACTGCGTGGGCGCCCTTGTCCTGTGCCACCTTCACCTCGAGACTTTTTCTCTGAGAGTGTGGAGCAGACAAAAAAATAGAGAGTCAATTTGAGAGTCAATTTGAGAGAGTTGGGCTTAAGAGGCTTCTGCGCCGGCTAGGGCGGCCATGCCCGTCCTTAGGCCTTTCACAATACACATCATCTTGAGGCCTCAAAGCACGTCCCACATCCAAACAGCCGACATTCCCCAAACCCACAGGCCCCCAACAAAAAAAAACACGCCGAAGCCCGATGCCCCTAGGGAAAGCAAAGACTGACGATTGTGCAACACATTGTGCAACACATCACTCTCCAGCATTGGCCTTCGTAGTGAAGGAGCACTTGCCCCGGCGCACCATTATTATGTTCAACAGCTTCACCTCAATCGTCAGGGTTTGGCCGCTAAATTCCATTCAAAAGCAGAAGTTGCCTCCTTCTGAAGCCTCCTTCGGACTTCAAACAACTCGACTCTCCGCCTTGCGGTAGCTGCTGCCTTCCGTCTGAAACGTCTCGGGGCTCGGAACATCGTAGTCATCCTGTGTGGGAAAGAGGTCCCATCAAAGATGCAGATGATATGTATATATGTATATATATATGTGATATACCTAAGCGCTCGTGCCTCGCAACAAGAAACCCCCGATCGTCCTCGTTGCAATAGACGTCATTGTGTTTGGAGAGGCCGTACACCTGCTGGCGACGGGCCACACGGCAAACACTTTTTGCTGAGACGAATGCAAACTCCGGCTATGAGCAGAGCATCCAGAGCTTTCTGTGACCCCATTTGCGTTTGGGGGGTGCATGCTTTGCGTTCCCTCCCTCGCTCGCTTCTTTGTTTTGTTGCGGTTCTCTCTCCCAAGCAACTCCAACATTCCAACAGTTGCAGACGCGCACCAGGCGGCCCATCACCACGTCCCCGTAGAAGGGCGCTCCGAAGGTGGCCGTGGAGCCCGTGATCCTCTCAGGAAAGAGAGAGAGAGAGAGGGAGAGAGAGAGAGAGAGAGCCAGAGCGAGAGCGAGAGCGAGAGTGAGAGCGAGACTCTCAAAAAGAATGAAAGGTTCCTTAAAGAGAGAGAGAGAGAGAGAGAGAGAAAGAGAGAGAGAGAGAGGGAGAGAGAGGGAGGGAGAGAGGGGGAGAGAGGGGGAGAGAGGGGGAGAGAGGGGAAGAGAGAAAAAAACAAACAAAAACACATACACAAAACGTTTTAAGATAATCGTTGAAGAGTGCGTTTTGAGAAAAGAGAAGTTTAAGACTTTCCCCCTCTCCTGCCACGGCTGCTGTGAAACTTCGAAAGGAGCTCCGGGGGAGTGATCACCTCCCGAGCTGAGGAGTGCACAAAGGGGGTCCAGGAAACACGCGATGAAGAAAGAAAGGTGATGAAAACAATCGCACCTCACACACACAGACACACATAGATTCTGGCTCTCTCTCTCTCTCTCTGTCCTTCTGCTGGGCTTGAAGGGACGCTGAAAAGCCCTCTGGTGAAACTTTCCTTCCGCCCCCCTTCTCTCTCTCTCCCTCCCTCCCCCCCTCCCTCTCTCTCTCTCTCTCTCTCTCCCTCTCTGTCTCTCTTCTTCTTCTATCTTTTCTAGGGGGCATGACGGGCCCGAAGACCCTCCGCGCCCACAGGCGCGCCCAGTCCACGAGGTCCGTTCACGAGGTGAAAACATTCTCTGTCTCTCTCTCTCTCTCTCTCTCTCTCTCTCTCATTCTCTCATTCTCTCATTTTTTCTCATTTTCTCATTCTCTCATTCTCTCATTCTCTCATTCTCTCATTCTCTCATTCTCTCATTCTCTCATTCTCTCATTCTCTCATTCTCTCATTCTCTCATTCTCTCATCTCATTCTCCCATCCTCCCATCCTCTCATCCTCTCATCCTCTCATCCTTCCTTCCTTCCTTCCTTCCTTCCTTCCTTCCTTCCGCACGTATTGCCCCCCCCCCCAATCAAATGGGCCGCCAGAAGGCACGGTTTACCGTGCCTTCACCGGGTCAGTCGGTGTGAGGATGTGTGATATTGGTGCCCGGCACAACGTGGAGCTTCCCCATCTCCTACTCCCCCAACACGAACCGAACTACATTAACCATCATGGGTCGGCTCCCTGTGCACTGTTGCTACCCCTTTGGGTTCGGGTACTCCCGGCTTCGGGGGTTTTGGGGTACCTTTGCAAAAAACACTGTGCCAAGGAAGGAAGACGAACATCAGCTGGGACAATTGCGAAACAGCATTGCCAAGTGTCCATCTTTGGGGCAGGCCAAAAACGTGCACTCCTATTTGGTTGTACCGAGCTGTGGATTCTGCCCTCAATTAAGGCCAAATGCATAATTACGATTACCGATTGGGAGAAATGGCAGGTGAGAGACCCTCCCTGGTAGGAGCTGTGCAGGTGAGTACGTCCGAGGATTGACAGATGGCTTTATGTTAAATAGTGCCCAACCAGAATAGAGCGGCACAATGGAGGCTTGGGCATCAGCCCGACCTAAGACAACCAGAAATCCCGAAGCTCCCTCTCTTGCGCGTTTTGCCTTAGCAAGTCTGGCTATTTGCTTGCACGGTGGCTCTCTTCTCCCATGCCTCTTTGACCCATCCGCCGTTGTGTTGTAAGCATGAAGTGCTCTGCTTCCTCGGTCTCCGCCTCGACGCGCTTCTCCTGGTCCCGGTCTCCAGCCTCCCGTGGCGTAGGTGGGGAGAGGGTGGCCCTTTCGGATCGGTCAGCATTGTGTTGTCAATGTGGTGCTCCGGCTGGTGTGGGGATGCCTTCGCGTGGTGGCACATGGGGGCTCTCCGTCCGGTGTCCGGGATCTGGTGGTGAGTCGGCCGCTCTTCCCATTCACGTGGTGGTCTGTCCATGTTTCTGCAATCAGGGCTACGCGCTTACTCTTCAAGTCCGGGGCGTAAGCGTTCATGTAATAGTTGCGCTGGTGCCGCTGCCATCCTTCCCTGTCTCCACTTGTCTTCACAGCTGAGGCGCACGTCGCGGAGTGTCCTCGCAACGTTCACTGTTGCGCGTGCTCCGGCGGGGCAGTCGACGCTTCAGGACCAGTCAGCTGTTGGCTGTTGGTCTTGACGAAGAGGACGGCGTGGATGTTGGCTAGGTGCCCCCGAGGGTGTTGCACATTGTGGGTCACCGTCACGCCTCATAGCCCCTTGCTGGCCAGATGCCAACTTCACGTCATGACTGCCACTTGGCTCGGTGTTGTTAGGCCTAGTTATTGTTGGTCCCCTGCCTGTTGCAGCGCCGCGTTTTTTTTTGGCGCCCCTGACGGTGTCACACGGGAGTAGCCTGTGGGGCACTGTGGCGGTCATTGCAGGTGGTTGAACTCCTTCCATTTGGCGACATGCAAAGTGCAGGTACACTGGCTTTCACAAGTGTTTCGCCACGAACAAGACGGATTCTCATCTGCTTGAGGTCCTAGCGGCCTCCCTCGCCATGTCGGGAGGTGTCTGACCAGCTTTGAACACTTCGGGGAATCCCCCAATCTTTCCATCTCCCGATCCACTATGGCGTGTGCTTTGGTGCCCTTAGGGTGCAAGCACGTGGCGACTAGCGTAGGGGCGTGCCAAACTCGAAATACAACACAGGACTGTTGTCTGCGAGTGCTTGCTGGCTGCTCCGAGCCTCCTTCTTTCTCTCTCACTCTGTCTTGCTCTCCCTTTCTCTCTCTCTCTCTCTCTGTTTCTCTTTCTCTCCCTGTCCCTTTCCCTTTCCCTTTCCCTTTCCCTTTCCCTTTCCCTTTCCCTCTCCCTCTGGCTTTTGCTCATCTCTCGCGCTCTCGCTCGTGCTCGCGCTCTCGCTCGTGCTCGCGCTCTCACCCTCTCCCTCTCTCGCTCTCTCGCCCCTGTGGGAATCTCCTGCTCCGCTACGAGTTTGGAGTTTCTCACCGGTTGGATGAACTGCGCTTCTTGGATTCGAGCTCAAGGGCTTTGCAGTGAGTAGCAATCAAGCGTGCGAAATGTTGCTTAACCTACTGTAGTCCTAACTGAGTGCCTCAGAAACAGGGGTAGATACATTCACCTTGAGGATGACAGCACGGCCGCAGCTTGGAGGACTTTTCGGAACAGAGCTGGGCTGCTGTCGGCTGGGTATTGCCCCCTAGGCTACTCATCTGGTGTCCATGGCTCGAGCTGACTGCTTCGCGCTGCGTGCTGCGGTGTGCTGCGGTGTGCGGAGGCTGGATGTTCGGCTTATCTGCCCATTGCACTATCCCTTGCGTGCTCAGCTGAAGTTGGCAACAGGCTTGGCATCAGTTTGTGCGTGCCCAGGCGCCAACTCTCTCTCTAGCTCTCGGTTTGTCTGGCTCGCACACCTTGATCTGGCAGTGGCCGAGCTGACCAAGTGCCAGGAGCAACCACGCCCAAGGCGACGCCATCGCCTTAACACGCAGCCACTGTGCATCTGACGACAACATGTTAGATTTTTTTGGTCAAAATACTTGTTACAATATTGCACAAGTCTTGTTCTGACGAGGCACCATGTCGCCATCTGAATCCACGGTCCAGTGTCCACGCTCAACACAGCAGCGGTAATCGAAGATTGGAGCAACGAGAGGAGGTTTGAACATGCAGCGGGATTTCGCCTCTCCCTCCCCCGAGTCGTGCTCCAGTCTATTAGCAAACTAACCCGCATCACGCCCCAACGTCGCTGAGTTTTTGAGACTTTCGGCGATGAAAGAGGTCTTAACACAAGTTAACTCTAAACCCTATGCCTCAAAAAGAAGCTCGTCTTCCTGTCACCCCATGTCACACCGAACCACAAAACAATTCCGTCAGCGAAAAAGTCACAAAAACATCGCGCAGCAACATGCGCAACGCTTCCCCATAAAGCCGTGTTGACTTTTGCTGCGTGTGATTGCGGCGATGCGGCTTAAGCATCTTCAGGCATCTTCAAGCACTGTCGCAGCAACTCCGAGATGCTCGAGAAAGAGAGGATCCTCTCGCATCGTCTCCTCCTCAGCCCCCCTCAATTCAGGACTCTACTCTACAAATCTCTACAGAAGTACTTCCTTCTCAGTCCATGTCCGTGAAGACGGGCGACGGCAATGAAGCCGGCGCCGCGCCTGCCTCGGCTAAAGACAAAAGGAAAGCGAGAACCCGAGAGCCCCAAGAAACGAACAAGAAAAAGACAAACACTCTTTCTCTCGCTGACGACCCAGTCCACGTGTAACAAGAGAAAGAGAAAGAGAAAGAGAAAGAGAAAGAGAAAGAGAAAGAGAAAGAGAAAGAGAAAGAGAAAGAGAAAGAGAAAGAGAAAGAGAAAGAGAAAGAGTCCGATAAGTATAAACCCCAAAAGAGTTCGGGCTTGCGGAGATAGAGGGAGAGAGAGAGAGAGAGAGTGTGAAGAGAGAGAACACAAGACACAAAAACAAGAACAAGAGCAACAGCAACCAAGAGCTCACGATTGGTATAACGCAATGCAAAACGGGTGCGCAAAGGTGGGGCGAATGCCTCCGACAAAATGCCCCCACGAATCCTTTCGTTTACAACCTCCCCCCCTTCCCCCCACGCTTCTCGTTCCTTTCTCTTTCCTTTCTTCTTTCCTTTTTCTTTGGGGCGCCTCCACGATCTCGGGGGCATCCTCACCGAGCAGGGCAAGGTCCTCACCAGCCAACCAACCAGAGAGAGCGAGAGAGAGAGAGAGAACAGAGAGAGGGAGCAAGAGAGAGAGAGAGAGAGAGAAAAAAAAAGAGAGAGAGAGAGAGAGGGAGAGAAAAAGAAAGAAAAATGAGAGAGGAGATGTTGCCAAAAAAAGCTTGAAACTCAACAGACCACCTCACGTTCGCTCTGGCGGTGGTGATGGAAAGGCTACCCGTCCCATCTGCCTCCCTCCTTTCCAAATCGGCACCTCCCGGCCCAACCCCCTTCTCGATTCTGCAAGCTGGCTTCAAAGAACAATGGGCCATCAACACGCATAGCTTGAAACCCGATTATCAATATCCACCGTGGCCAGAGGCCTGACGCGTCCTACCCCGCCGCCCACCCCCGCTCATCCCTCGCCCCCATACCACTCCTGCCAGTTGGACGGACTCATAGCCTGTGCCCGCAACAACACCTCCTCAACTTACAAGGCGTGTCGAACCACACCCTCCACCCCCACCCCTCTCATCCCCCAGCGGCGTGGGATGCGTTGGAGATGCGTTGGACAGACTCATGAAATGTGTGTGCCGAGGGCCGTCCCCAAGCCGAAACGACACCTCCTTACCAGGGGCGTCGGACCGTGATCCGCTCGGCGTGGGCGGCACTGGGGCCATTGGACGGACCAACACCCCTACTAACATCTCCCTGCTTCAGCAGGCATTGGCTGTAGTTTGGGATTTCAAGCAGCGCTCCTACTTCTGAGGGCGGCGCAGCACCAGACTAAACCACTACTTATCAGGGCAGCGCAAAACTTAGCGCGCTCGAACTCCCATGAGTAACGGTAGTGAACCCTCAATTCGCCTCGGGACCTTTGCCGAGGCGGCGCTCGCGCAGAAATATTACTAGACATATAGAGGAAATGGAGGCTTACTCCCCAGATCCACCGAATGCGGACCTTGGCTGGATCATGATTTCGCTCACGGAATAAGCACGGGGGCCGTGCGAAATGCACACGGGAGCTGGGAATGAGTGCATACTAGTGTATGCAAAACTCGAAAGCAAATCGCTGAAAAGAACAAACAATCCGCAAACAAGCTCCGGGTCCATATTGAAGTTGGGTTCATATTCTGAATAAGTTGATGCACTCGTCTCAGGCAGCGAATATAGCTTGGCAGGTCCTACACGGGTAGTGTGACGCTTGCAGCCTAGGACAACACTCGGAGAGGGGCTGCTTGTAAGTTCCCCCCCAAACCGTCATCGGAATCATTTTCTCAGCCCGTGGGCGCCGCGCAAGTGAGCTCTTTCAGTGTTCCTCTGATTAGCGTCAGCTGCCCCCGAGCGCGCAACGCAGGGATCTGCCTGCTGTGGTCCCTCTCAGCAATCCAGCCCTTGTCGATTAACAACTTGAAACAAACACCCCAATCCCACTCTAAACAAATAACATGAAGGAATCAGCGAGAGAAGGAGAGAGAGGAGATGCGGCACCTCTATTCGCACGCTGGGCCCCCCAGCTTTTGCACACATCACAAAACAAAGTGTGATTTGACAACATCAAAAGGCGCCAATTTGTCAGGGCAAGAAAGAGAGAATAGCAAACGAACCAACATTACGGCCCTTGCACGCGTTCATGTTTCCAGATTGGCCCGTTCAAAATCTGACCCCGCATCACCTCTTCAGTTGCACAATAGAGTACAATGGAATACAATGGAATACAATGGAATACAAGGAAATACAAGGGAATAGAATACAATTGAACTTCATAGAACACAATGGCTCTGGGGAGAAGGTGTTTTTGGTTGAGACGGATGTTGATGCTATGGATAGGCTACTGTGAGGGCCTCTTCGGGTGAGCGGCCCAAGCCGGAGGCTGGATGAAACTTCTGGCCTGGGTCGAAAGGCCAAACTTCTCCTCTACCAGCTGCCTGCAGACAATCTCGCACAAACTCTCCACGTTCGCTGCTTTGCGTTCGCTGCGAGCTGCGTTCTGGGCACATTCCCCCCGAAAAAATCTCAACGCTCTCTGAGAGCAGTCCCACTCAGATCTCCACTCAGAGTGCTCTCCACTATGCTCTCCACTCGGAGTGCTCTCTGAACCCGGGCAAGCCGGGCCGGAGCTTGGCGCAGCGCTTTCGCAGCTTGGCCGGCCCCTGAGTCAAAAACTGTCCAAAGAACATTGCTCAAAGAGCCGTGCCCGGGCAAAATCTTGCACAACAAGACAAGAAACGCACAAGAAACGCATATGCTTACAAACACAGGTGTTGAGAAGCTTCGCGAGTTGATTAGAAATTGCTGCACATGTGATCTGCCTCTTCACAGATCTCCAGGAGGGACAGCGTGCAGCTTCCCAGAAAGTTGTCCTACCACTCGGACCAGCGCAAGTACATTGAAGCTTCATCGCGTTACGACGTCTGCTGTGTTTTCACTACGTTCTCACCAGATGTTTGCAACTTGTGTTCACCGATGCTTACTCAACTTGTGCCTACATGAGTTACTTGACATGTGTTGCCTTGGTCAGGTCGTCTCCGAAGAGGTCTGCAGGTGCCTGAGAACAGTCGAAAAGCATGGAACAAGAAAGAAGCTACTGTAGAGACGAAAGAGACGAAAGAGACGAAAGAGACGAAAGAGACGAAAGAGATGCGGAGTGGGCGCTTGCCTGGCTCAGTTGAGCGAAGAAAGCCCTCAGCAGCTCCGCGTACAACCTCGCGTATCCCCGCATTCTGCAGCCCTTTCAGGCTCTGAGAGGCCCGAACCAGCTTCGGTCTAGGTCCCAATAGTCGCACCAGAACTCAGCTGACTTTTGCTCAACGCTGTCAGTAGGACTCTGGCTCAGATCGTCGATGAGCAGCCTCCTCGCAGCTGCACAGCAGCTGCAACAAAGCACGCCACCTCAGAAAATGCGAGAAAATAGACGAAAGCAAACACACAGCAACGCGAGCTGACAGCTGAATGCAAGCGGCTTGAAAATGGCGAACATTCTGACCCGGCAAACTTATTTCGTATTCGGGGCCTCTTCTCTCCGGTGATCTGTGGTGCTCTGCGGTGAGCTGCGACTGCAGCAAACTGTGGTCCAGGCTGATCGAAGCCATCGGCGTTTTGTCCCAGGAGGAAGGCGATGTAAGCCAGCTGCAGTTCCTCGGGTGGGGAGAGCCTCCAAAGGTACTCGTGGTGTGACACTTCCGCCACACTCTCGTCAGGCCCAAGGGACTCCCAACATGGCCAGTTCATTGCCCGAGTACTCCCGCTCCAGCATTTCCTGCCATGGTGAGCACACTTCGGAGTCAAATTGGGACACATCGGGTCGTTCACTGGTTCCAGGAGATGGACAGTCTGGTGTTGAGGTCCTCGAGCTGCACTGTGCGGTCCATGTGCAACCTCGGTTCTCGCGACATTTCAGGGATGCTTTAGTCCACAAAACGAAAGGTTACAAAAGGTGCAGACCGCAAAGGTGGGGCCAGTGCTGCGTGATCTCGGCAGCGGTGCGTCCCTTATCAGACCAGGCTCTCTCCGATCGGCTCTGAGTCTCCTCGTCGTGTCTCAGGCCTTCCGCACCCGTGGGACGGATGAGAAGAAGAGCGAGCCTTGAAAAGCTGAAAGGATGTGAAAACGAAAACGGCGGTACTCGGCGGTACTCCTACACTCACTACACTCAGAGATCACATCGAGGCGTGGTGCTGTTTGACTCGATGGTAGCTCCCTTCCTGGCACTCGAACGTGTCTGCGAACAATTCTGAGAGAACACACAGACACACACACACACACACACACCCGCCTTGCATCTGCCATGACCTCTCGTGAGAAGTTCCGCCAGTTCCAAGAGAGGCGCAGCTTTTTCTGGGGGTGTCAACACAGAGTTCCCAAACATGGTCTACTTTTTTCAGTGATTTTTTAAGCCGCCTCGTCCCCATCCTGCTCCTCGTTCTCAGCGCTTTGAGGAGGGGCCTCGAGTGCAAAGAAATTCGAAAAACAAACACACACGAAAACAGCACACTGACATCCTTTGCTCATGCAAGTACAAACATGATCATTCCTCAAAGGGAAAGAAAAGAAGGGAGATGGAGTGAGTTTTAGAAAGAGAGAGCTTCCGCGAGCTTCTCGGAGTTCTTGGAACGCTAACTAAGCTCAGGGCGTCATACTCGGCGCGCTTGGAGCGGACTCGGCCCGAGACCGGCTCGATCCTGGCGGCCAGCTCCGCCGTCGCCTCACGTTTAACAAAACGACACAAGATGAAAATGAGGAAACGATGAGATGAAACGATGGGGCAGGAGGCAACGATGAGGAAACGAGGAGATGAACTTGCGAAGAGGTTGCGAGCCCCGCACGTGCCGCGTGAGCTCCGCCCAGGGCTCCCGCAGCTCCAGCGGGTAGGGACCTCGCTTTTCCAGATTTGTTCTGTTTTTGCTCTCAAGAACACCTCATGGCGCCCAGGGGCCAAGGTTCCGGTCGAAGTCGAAGCTCCGAGCACCGTCCGCATACCGAAGTTCTTCGTCGGGGCCTCCCACAGTTTGCACCGGATTTGCGCCGGGTTTGCACCGGTTGCAGCTTGGAAAGGTGAACAGGGCCGCCAGGGTCGCGTTAAACCACCTTCGACGTCTCGCTTCAGACCCGAGGCGCCGGCTAGGTCGTGTGAGCTCCTTGCACCCCGAAACGAGCTTTCTGGAAAAATGAGAACCTTTTTCATCTTTCTTTCGCACTTCCGGCATTCTCCCCATCGTGGCTAGAAGCAAAGTCTACAATGTCCTCGCCCTCTGGATCCCAGCGGAACACGGCCACGTCCTTGGGCCTGCGCATACTTGTCGTGCCACAGCCCTGGATGCCCTTGTGAGCCAAAAAAAGTTCGCAGTTCGGTGTTCTCTTTCTATCTTTGCGCCATGCTTCGCCTTGCCAAGTGCCCAGCAGACCTATTTCGTCATCCTGAACACTCATCGCCGCCCACGGGCGTAGCTGCAATGGTGGTGCACAGACAATGCAGTCTCTGCGGTGTCTGACAGTTCTGCAAACTGTCATGTCATTGGCTGCCAACATAGCTTTGCATATTGTAGCTTGTATGTTTCAAGTAAGACCAAAGTTCACAACTAAATGGCCGAATCTCGAAGATCCATCTCTGCAGTGGACTTTATTGTTCTGCGACTTCAATGAAAAAGTCGACGAGTCTGCCTGTCTGTCCGTCTGTCTCTTGAGCAAAGCACAGCTCCATTAGTACAACAAAGAAAATTCAACTTTAGTCAGAGCTGTGAGTGAAGCACAGCTCAGTCCGCCTCAAGTGGAGGAAGAAGCCGCTGCGAGCAAGTCCCACGTCCTCTGCAGCACCTTGAAGTTGTGAAGAAAGAAAGACATACAGAAAGAAAGAAAGAGAGAAAGAGAGAGAAACAAAAACAGGAGAGAGTGACAGAGAGAGAGGTGAGCATGCGGTGCTCGTAACGAGACCCGCACTTGCGCTGCAGTAAAGATAATGAAGCCCCGGCGGCACCAGTTTCACACCCATAAACCTCAAGCTTGTCCAACTCGGACACACGGACAAGCTCTCCAAGCGAGATTTGGCACGATGGTCAGCAATGTTTGCCTGGTCCTTGCGACCATGCGGCCGGGGCCCAACGGACCACGCCGCATAGTCAAGGCCAAAAAGCATGCCTTCTTGCATCCATGGCAAGCTGCAAATCGAATCGCATAGAACAAAGACATACTTGTGTCCGTTGCTGCTGGGCTTCCAGCGACGAACATGCGGCTGTTACATGGTTTGTTGACATCCTAACGTCTGGGATTCCGGGGTCGGTTGGCACTGGCACTCGTGACCCCAACAGAACCTCGAAGCATCTCGAAACAGAGAAATGCCGAGAATGCACGATCAGGTACGGTCCCGCAAGTTTTCAACACCCACGCAAAACACCCACAAAATGAGTTTAAGCATAAGAAAGACCCGGCATCAAGGAGCGCGAGGGCAAAAGATGTCGGGTACACGCTTCGCTCGTATCCGAGAAGCGTAATGAAACTGTCAGAAGTCTCAGAAGAAGAAGATACAGCAACACAGAAACAGCTGACCAAAAGGCATGTGTGCAAAGGTGAGAAGCGGATCGATGCAAGTAGAGTCGCGGCAGTAATTGCTGCCATTACTCCGAGTCGTTCGTGACATGTCATGTCATGGTCCTTGGGGATACAAGAATGGGACTTCACTGCTATGACACTTCGCAATCCGCCACTGCAAAAGACTTTCCATATGGGAAAGACTAGAAAGATTAGAAAGGCTTGGAAAGGACGGAAAACGCAACTTCCTCTGCAAGAAACCTCGCACATGTGCCAACGGACGTGCCACGGACCTTCTGGGCAACCAAGGCAAAGGACCGAAGCGCCATGCTCTGCCAATCGCAGCACCTTCCAAGAGTGCAAAGACCCCAACGTGGCTCTCGCATAGCAGCTATCAGAGCTCTCTAGGAGATTCCACGGGAGACTCTACGAGGTCCCGGAGATTCTAGGAGATTCTAGATGGAAGGCCAAACACATAGGAGTCACCAAAGGCTTTTGTTTGCGGCGAACATACCTTGGATTGCGTCAGACGTCCAAAGACTGAGAATGACTTTGACAGAGACATTAAACGCTGAAAAGATCGGATTGCCCGAATACTTTGCGATTCCTTTTCGATCCAAGCACTGCTCAGCTAGTGTCTACGAGCTGCCTCGAGCGCAGGCTTTGAAATTCCGGCAGTGGGATCGCCCAGATGATCCGGAGTGCTGTATTTTGCTGTCCCATTCAGTGTGTCAAGTATTCGTGCAGCTCGGCAGCGCCTGCAAAGTTTCTGAAGCAGCTTGACCGTATCACGAAGAACAAGCTATTGAACCACTTAAGTGCAGGGAAGCAGCACTAAGCAGTCAGAGAGAACGACAATCAGAATCACTCGGCCCTTGAATCTGTTGAGGCAGTCACGACTGTCCAGTGGCAACTCCGAGACACAAGGCAACTTCAGAAGGAACTTCAAGAACATCGGCGCAAGTCGAGGCAAGAGGGGACAACTACGAACAGAGTTGGTGCTACATAAAAGGCACTGGCTTTTTTGATTGTCTCTGGCTTTCAGGGAACTGTACATCACTACAGGGTGGTCTTGACGTTAGCCCTGATTCGCCAAATGAGATGGTTGCATTCTCGGGAAAAGATGCGTATGCACAGGGCCCTTTGAGCAAACATGCCGCTTCCTGCCATGCTTCGGCACTGCCAGACATGAATTTCCACAGTTGATGTGGAATATTTGAGTATCCTCGCACGCATGTTCGCCAGATGCCGCGGCTTAAACCCGAAAGTTCAAACTTAACGAACCTGCCAATATACCCGCTTTCCAGCACTCCCAGTGCATTCCCGGCACATCCCCAGCTTGCTGTGGCACTTGCCGTGGCACTTGCCCATCTTCCCGCACCTCTTCTGTGCGGGCCGGCGAATCCTCTCGCGCTGGGGCCTGAAGGAAAGCTGAGTGAAGCCAACACTACAATCGGAGAAGCAATCAAACAGATTGTGTGAACAAACTCCAGGTGCTTAACAAATCTCAACACAAAACCGGGCTTCAAACTTTCTACGGCCGAGTTTACGTAATCAAAGTGCTATGTGTTTGTGTCGTGACAACCGGCTTTGGTGGTGTGTTGTGGTACACGACTGCGACACATGCTTGTGATTTTTCAGCCTGGTTGTGTTGTGGCCTCAACGTAAAGCATCCTGCAGATTCTTTTCTCGCTTGGCCGCCCGGAAACAAAGGCACCGACGCAGCCACGTTTATCACTGTGAACACATTGTCATAAAAGCTGTGTCGTATAGCGACAGTGATCCACCCAGAACGCGAACAGAGCTTTAAAGCCCCAGATTAAGGCCCCAAGCCACCCAAATCCCTCAAAAGTGTTTCGATCAGCGTGCTAAGGCAAAGCAAGTCTCAACAGTCTTCATTGAGCAATGCTGGTCACCGCTGCTTCACCATGCTTTTTTCGCACGCTTGCTGAAATCATATCCAAACGTTGGGACTCCAAACGAAGCTAGCACTCCCTACACAACACGTGAACTTCACTCCAGTCCACAATCACACGCATGTGCCGACAGCTTGTGCCGGAGTGGACGTTAAACACACTCGTCCTGCGGCGTGACCATCCTGCCGAGAGAAAGAGCAGGATGAGGATGATGACATGACGAATCCGCCGAGGAAGTCTTGCGTCTGCTGCTGCGGGACCCCAAATGGATGTTGTTTGCGTTCGAGCGCTTGGCTGTCTTATCTTGCTCAGCTGTTCTTGTTGATTCATGCTCTGTACACAGCAGGGGCTATCGAGCCAGACAGGTACTTGCCAGACACTCACGTTGCATCTACGAATGAGGTCCACCTCTTTCGTTCTCTCCTCCGTCTTTTCGTCTTTCTCTCGGCAGGTTTGAAACAAAGGCCGTTCGACCATTCTTGACAATAAAAAGGAAACATTCGGTACGTGCTCTCATCAAAGTGCTTCACAACTGAGGCTGACCCGATGTCTTTCGATTAATGCAAAATTAGTTCATGGAAGGTTTCATGGATGTCTCGGCCAATTGGCACAATGACATCACCATTTTTGAAAAAGAACTGCACCTAAGGAAGTTTTCTTGCTGGGAAAACAAGGAAAAAATCAAAACTGTCTGAAAAACAAAAACTGGATCTTTTTCAGGAAGTACAACTTTGTAACTTTGTCTTGTTTCCCACTTTATTGAAAAGTTCCATTGTGCAATCCTTTCGTACAAAAGCACCGGAAACTTAACCTAAACTTTCCGCGCTTTCTTTGCCTCCAACTCAAGAGCACCTGTGCTTCAGAACCGAAGGTCCAATCACGCTTAGACTTATACAAACTCGCGCACAATAAACTCGGACGCAGCTCTCAAATCTCAAGCACAGGCAAACTCAGACCAAGAAGCAGACTTACACAAACCGCGGGCGCTACGATAACCTTTTTTTAGAAATAAATTGAATCAAAAAGCCGAGTTCGAAGAATATGAGTGAAACGCATGTGACCGAATGAACGCGCCCAAGGACCCAAAAGAACATGCTCAAGTTTTGCAAACCTTTGGGGCACAGAAAACATTCACAACAGAAAGATTGGAAGTTTGCTTTTTGGTAGCGGGCCCCTTTATGCGTCAGTGATTCAGTGGGCGGTCTGTTGCCAGTCGGTGTGAAATTTGCAAAAGCGAAAGCAAGCTCACTGCGAGGAACGGAGCCACACACAACCCCGTTTGCTCTCGCAACGGCAAAAAGGCTATTCAGAGCTACAAGAGAACCTGCTACTCGAGCAGCAAGTAACTACTGGGCAGCGTTGTACATAGGCATGGTAGGCGGTGAAACGAGAATGGATTGCAAGCCGCTCAACTACTCCCACTCTCAGTACGACGAGTCGTCGTGAACGCCCCAAAAGTCTCCAGATGTTGTTGCCAAAACTCTTCTATCTGTTGGTTGCCAGTGCAACGAAGGAGTTGCGAGTGAAGACCAAACTCCAAAAAGGTAAAAGAGCTTTCTCTTCATTCACGCGCGTCCTCACAGTCTACTCGTAACATGTTGGTGTTGCATCATCGGCCTTTCAGATATGAGCAACACGGACGAGGGTTCATTGGTAGCCACCCTCCCGCCAGGTGCACCCAGGGAGTCCGACTCCGTCCCGCCGAAGGCGCAGGGCATCGGAACCCCGCACTACCTTGCCATGCATGGGCCATGACCGAATGTGCAGCTGAAGCACATCTTACTGACCAAAGCCTCCAGGTCGTTCCCCTTTCCGCGAAGGGCCATTTGCATGGGGAACTGGGGCCAACAGCGATCTCTCCACCTCCTGCTGGTAGGAGTGTTCTGGCTTGGGGAGCCTCCAGGGCTTGTACCCGGGAATCTACTATATTTGGGAGTAACCCTAATTTTGGGGATCCTTGTAGAAGGGATTAAACGACCTTTGAGGCAGCGGCACATACTTCAGAACTTTTTTAAACAAGGCATAAGGGACCATGTGCAGTATGAACCCTAAACCCCCCTAAACCCCCCAGAATGGCTGGTTCAACTCCTCGGTTGCCAGGCGACGCCGGTGCCTGTAAGCCCCAAGCCCTAGACCCTGGCAGTTCTTCCATCTTCATGGGACATGTTGGGATTTAGGGCTTAGGGTTTAAGGTTTAGGGTTTAGGGTTTAGGGTTTAGGGTTTAGGGTTTAGGGTACGGGGGCAACCGAAAGGGGACAAACCAGGATATCAACCCTCAACAGTTGCCTAAATGAATTCCCCAGAAAGAACCAGAAGAGAAAACCAGGGGTTTGGCCTAGCAAGGAGAACGGGGCAGGACTACACCCTCCTGTTGACCCCAACCCCAAGCACACAACTTTTTCAAGTTCTGACGGACGGCTCCCGGCCATCCTTGAGCCAAAGTGTTACGGGAACATTGTCCCTTTAAACCTCCTTGAAACACAATTACCATCTCCGCACTCCCCCTGCCCCAGGTTACCTGGGACACAGTTGGAGATGGCATCATTGGCCAAAAACTGCGCGATTGGCAGCAGCCAAAAGTCTTGACTAGTGTCATTAAAGACATGCCGTAGCCATTAACATTGTGAAACTGGTTTAACGTCACCCAGGACGACAAAGCTTAGAGCTTTTAGTACCACTTGGGTACTCTGC